TTGGCTTTGGAGAGTGCTTGTCCTTCTGGAGATGCACGTCATCTGACCAGCTTCCATATTCTTGCGTTTCCGCGGGACTAAATTGTGTTCAGCTCTCAAATCGCTGGGCTGGGCTTTTAGTTCCATGTTCTCCAATCCCCTTCTTTTCATATAGATCTTCATGGATCACATCAGCCAACGCAATTCCAGTTTCGGTTTCGACTTTGGATCTTGGAATTGATGCTAGGACGGTCCACGTTGGCTTTGTTCCTCGGCCAACTACCCCTGGATAGGCAGCTGGTAGAACATCATCTATTCCTATCGATAGAAAGTAGAGCAATCGGGCAGATCTTGTTGATTCAACCTTCCCCCCTTGCTTTGAGAGAGGAGCTCAACCGGGATTCCAAGTGTGCAAATAGGTGGGTTCGCCAGCTGAACTGCAACATGTACAGCCTCTCGACTTGCCCAGGAGAGAGTGAAGGTGTCTATTTTGAGACACATATATGACGGTCACGTGTGTGTTTCAATGTTAGATGCCATGGCGCTCTCCAGGACCGATTTATCTGGTATTGGCCATTAGATGCAATAAGCGAGGCCGAAGTATACTGCTAGCCCAAGTTAGCGGAGACAGTCTTCTTGTGTGCGCGACATTCGGCGTTGAAGTGGAACTGCTCCATCGGGCCTGGTTTGTCCGTACATCTTGGCTGCAGTGATACTGGACAATAGAGTGTGACACGGGCCGAATGCTGAAGACTTTCTATGATCCTTGACGGCTGGGCAAAAGTATTGGTCTTGCTCATTGGTATCTTGCAATCATGCTTCTTCTGTTGTGGTCATTGACGCATTCCGCAGATACTTCTCCATCTGAGCCAAAGACTTAGCGAAACGGTCTATCTGACTATCTCCATTGACTAAAGTGTCACAAATGTTACCTTCCTTCGAAATCGTTTTAAAACACACAGCCACTTATAGAGACCATTTTGTTTGAACCGGGGTTTGGGAGATCTGGGTCAAGACTTTCCATCTTTTGCTGTCATACAAAAACCCATATTGAGAGATAAGATATGAGTTCACGCTTTCTTGTCCTTCCTTAAAGAATATCCTGTTGGTGATTCCCCCTACACATATCAGCCATTTGATTGATTGACAGTAAAGACCGCAGGTCGTCAAAAGTCAAGTCAACAGCACAGTAGATCCAGACGCCCTCCCGGCAGCGAGGGAGTCCTTCAGGCGCGAAGTGCGCTTGTCGTCAAGACGATATGCGAATGATTTTGTGCGGACGCATGAGAGAGTTGAACTCTAGTGGCCGGCAGTCCTTACAGCCACCGACCATCGCGCGAAAGTCCGCAGGGGCCATTGCCATGGGGCTGATAGTTCCCCCACTACCTGGATGGGAGTAGTGTGATCCCAGTCAGAGAAAATAGGGTAAATGTAACTCCACAGTGGACTTCTGCTTCGCCGTGTGCATGTCTATTGTGCTTTCCTTGGAACGCCAAAGATCTTCTGGCTTACCAGTCTTTTCTTCAATTGGAACTCAACTCCACTCAGTCGAAGGCGTAGCTTTCATTCTCCCATATGGAAGTAATTGTACCAAGTGATTCGGCCAGCGCGGTCGGTCGATTGGCAACTTGTACACCTTGACTTGCTAGTGGGGCGCTGTGTTTCCAGGAGCAGAACACCCACTGACAATACAGTCCTGCTAATAATTCATAGCGCTTGAACCAGCTTCTCTAGGCGATGCTGAAATCATCAAGGAAAGGTGCAGTCTGCTGCTGGCGGCCATCAACCGAGCCTTTGCCTGCATTTAAGGGCATCAGCAGGTGCTGAGCTATTGTTTCTCAGGAGCTCAATCTAAGGAAATCAAAGTCCTGAAGCTGGCAGCTCGGTCGTTTCCTTCTCCGTATTATCATCTTATATATCTTGGTCATTGGGTAGACATCTGTCCAGAGAAATGAGCTGCCAGTGGTAATAGTAAGAACCCACTTTTCATCGTCCTTGACAGGTTCTCTGAGCTTTCTCGCCATGGCGTTCTCCCCAGCATCCGCCTTCGGCTTTGTAAGTCTTGCGACATTTGGCTTTCTTGGTATTGATGGCTCTTCGCTGTATCCAAGTCTGCATGATATATGGGATTCCAGCTGGAGATTTTGGTCTTTCTGTTCAGGTGAAAATCGACTGCGGATGCAATTATAGATGAGTGGGCTCAGTTTGAGTTAGTGGAACGAGTGATCCCTTCATTCAAAATAAGGTCATGCGATCCAGAAAGCAAATTCTCGGGTTGTCCAGCAGCGGCCAAACCAGTCAATGAGTGACCACGTGAAGTGGCCAACACCGTGGCTTTGCATCATTGCATGAAAATAATATTTCTGTGAGAAATAAAAGGGGGCCAACGGCATGAGGTGAATGGATTTCAGGAGCAGACACCTCTGGGAGATCACAGTGAACGGGGCCCAGTGCCTTGGGGACATGTCGGTTCACGAGACACTTCTGTGATCAGAGACATGTAACTTCGTTTGAAGCAAGCAGCGCTACATTTGACCGATATCACTTTCGTCCCACACACACCATGAAGCCGGTGATGTCTACACTTCATCATATGGTGCAGTCGGACATCATCAGAAGCCCAAGGTGTGCCTCACGCCGGCTGTTATGGGATGCTTTCTTTCCATTAAGACAACCCGGAGAACCTCTTGCCCAGGTCGTAAAAGCCTGTTCTTTTGAAAGACACGGTTTTTGAGCCCCTCCGCCAGTTCTCTGTTTCAGTGAGGGTCATGAACTCCGCGATGTTGTCCGGGGAGCTGGGGTTGGGCGTGACCGACATGAACCAGACTGCATAAGTTCTGTTGTGCTCAGCCACGCAATCACTCCTTGCGATCTTTCCGATCTTTTAGTTTATTGGAAACTCAATGTTGCCAAAAATAGGAAGGCTTGGGTCGTCGAATGGGTTTGCGAAAGAGGAAGAGCCCAGAGAGATCCCGTGATCACGAGCAAGCATACTAGTTGGATCAAGTAGCTGCCTTTGCGATTTTGAGCTTCGTAACATGTTTCCTGGGCGATACCGAAAGAATCTTATGGCTGTTTCAGCACTGGATAAGTCCGACATGACCAGACACGTGGCATGGTTCCTCTTCTCAATAATTATCCTGTCTGTATCTTGAACTTTCCTGCTCTTGTGGAATGATATCCGGCTAACTGGCAATCGTCCATAACCGGGACAAGCTGCTTGGCGAGATCGGAAAGGCATTACTGACGACGAAGTGCTGCTATATAACTAGTGAGTACAATCGACGGTGTCAATAGAGCTTCTGTGTACTCACCTGAGTCTGTTCTGTGACTTGAACTGTTTAGACTATTCCATTCGTTATTGATGTGGAAGTGTTCATCATACTTCATATGGTGACATCCCAGGCTACTAAATGGTATATATATATTGCTGCGCTTCCTCATGCGAGACGAGGATGGCGTGCACACCATCGCTATTGTAGTCTGTAGATAGATAGCTTCGTTAATGTAACGAAAGAAAGCATGTAGAAGACCAGAAACGCCCTTCTGTTTTGTCTTCCTTCTTCTCTTGCGACTTGCCTTAGTGCTCGGCGCTTCACGCAGGAGTGAAAGCACTTCCGCCAACATGCTGGGGACAATGATACCACAGGATCTGCTGGGTCTTCAAGGCTAGAAAGATCAGATGGCACGTTCGTTCATGGGTCGGATGATGAGCTCAACGACGGAGAACCCATGAACACAAGTCACAATAGCGGGAAGTTGTTAGAACGTTCGGATCCAGTGGTGGCTCGGTCTCTAGAAAGCAGTCACTGGTATATGAGGCATTAATCAGCACCCCAACCACGCGTCGGTCTGCTGGACACTATATCAGAGAGTATGTAGGATATCATATGTCTTACCGTAACGAGTCTAGAGGAGCATCAGATCCGCCCTTCTATCTTGTGAGGAAAACCAGTGTGCCTTAAGCTAGTTATCTCACCAGTCTGCGCTCTTCTCTAACATCCATTAGCTGTCACTGAACACCATAACAGAGGAATGACATACGTGAGGAGACACGTCCAGTACAGTAAAGTCCTGACTGGGCCATAGCGTCACATGCAACATTCATCCTGCATGCACTTTCAACCCCTTAGCACGGCTTGGTCACGTCATGGGAGAGAGCATCCGGCTCCTTAAGTATAGTGCAGCTAGAGGAGCGCGAGTGACAATCTTCCGTCGAGAAGGAGACGATCGTCCTCGAGTATGATATCTTTGTACCATGCCGTGATAGTATGACACGTTTGGAACTGCTCAGGTCGACATCTCGGAGCGCTCGACGAAAAGCCTCTTTATCAATTTTATTATAAGTCCCAAAGTCCCAAGTGCATGAATCATTAGATTTTGTTACCTTTTCTCAGTAATGAGTGCAAGCTTAGCAGTAAGCTGTAGGCTCTATGGTCCCATTTGGGGATATATTTCGACATTAGAATGGCGCTGTAGCCGTAGGTTCGACTGCGTTTCTTTACTTTTCAATCCCCGGTGAGTGTATATTTCAACACTGAGGACGCTGGGATGACTCGTGCAATGAGAGCCGCCATGCTATGTCAGAAAGGTTTCCCCTTTCGACATGAAGAAGAGAGTACCGCAAGAGAGAGATGAACTCAATGACTATAAAAGTATGTTTGAGGCATGATAGCCATATTAAGTCTTAAGACGAATACATATATAAGGTAGGAATGGGCTTGACTGATGATGTATTGAGAGAGAAGAGAGGTGATACAGAGGAGAGGGAGAGGAGAGAAAGGGCACGGCGAAGTTTTTATAGCTATTTTTGAGATCAACCTCCCGTGGGAATCACCGTTTGAAGGACCCGCCGTGTGAATTTTTCCATTCCTTAGACACGGGAAGTTCCCATTATTACGAGTCAGCGTGAATCCTAGAATGCTGTGTGCGTCACTTAGGAGGTCTCTATCACGGTGGTTTTAGCGCCGTATGGGTACCAATTCACGAATCCTAGCCGCCTAGATGCATCGCAGAGAATGCTGTCAGTGAAATCATTGTTGAGGGTCAGAAGGCTGCCCAGATCTGTATATTGTCAGGACTTTTGGTATCAAATTCTAACAGTACGCTAATGTTTCTCGTATGATAGTAACTGGATATGCGCATGGACCTAGACAGTTCACTGCATCTGTGCAGCGCCATCACAGGGTCCTTGGGATTGAGGAAGAAATCCATAACAAGAGGACTTTGGTATATCTGCGTGAAACCATACCATGCACTCAACGCTAACCAACTGCAATAATCCAAGCACGTGAAGTGCTGGCTTTCACATAGACATACATTCTGTCAAGGCTTTCCGAATTCACGTTCTATTGCTTCCATCATCTCGTCTACTAGGGTCAGTTTCATTCAATCACAAGGTGGAGTACAAGGTGGAGTACAAGGTGGAGTACGTATACGTACCTCGCATTCCTTCGATTGCCTCAAAGGCAATCGCATGATTCGCCAGGAACTTCGCTACTACTCGCAGGCTCTGTTCCAGCTCATTCCTCAGTCCTGCTAATGGAAAATTACCTTCGTTCGAATCCGGCACGTTTGTAACGAAAGGCCTTGTTTTGCAACTCAGAGTCAGCATCGTATAGCCGGCCTGCATGGCGCAACTGATCAAGGTGGGCATGGCCCGGGGAACCTCATAGTTCTGAAATATGTACGGTAAATTGGTCGGAGAATCATCATTAGTTGGGTTAGGAAATGGAAGACTGTCCATTAAAGTTACAACGTTGATGGCTGCATGGACACAGATCACTGAGGATGTGTGCGATGAGAAGGGGAACTGGATGCCAAGTTGTTGCATCGAAGCGGGACGCTCCAGCAAGGTCGTATCACTGGATGCTCGACCTCCGTCTATACTTTCGTTGACACTAGAGACTGGGTGCAGACCAGGCTGTTCAGAGAACATGGGCACATCTTGGAAGGCACAGTATCGGTGCAATTTGATCCGAGCGCTACACAGTCAGTCAGCCATTGCAGACAACAACAAACCAGGATACTCACCTGTGCAATTTAATCTCCGCATACGATCTCAAGGCGCTTGAGGCCACCGATTCGACACAGTTTGGCTGTGGGCCTTGAGATGCCGACAATTTATCCCGGCACTCGAATAGCAGTGAGGTAATCTGAGTATCAAGCTCGGACATCCGCTTCTTAATCCATGACAGATCCTCGCGGCGCCGTATCGTCTCGTCAAGCTCAACGGCAAAGATACCAGCTTCATATAGAGCTTGTTGGGCTTCGACACGGAGCCTCCAACCCTAGAAGGCATAAGCAAGGATTCCTCCAACTAAACGAATGACACACCTTTGGGTATGGGGTCACAAATGAAGGATCGTACACGTCAAACGAAGCCGGCTGTACAAGATTAGTCAGTTGTCCTCCTTGCTTCCAGATGTAGCACTAACCATGCCCGTCACCGTTGCCATATGACTTGCGGCCATATACTACGAAATCAGCACTGTATGGATGGAAAGGGCTAACACAACCAACCACAAACCACCATGACCTGCGCCGGGCCAAGGCATACTCATTCTCCTCCAGGGACTCATGCAGTCCTAGCACGAAGGCCATTTCCAAGGCCTCATTCGCTAACCTTGCCGTGTTATCCAGATTCCCTTGCTGGCCATACTCATAGAAGCACAGGATAGATAGTGCGATAACTCCTTCCAGGCACACAGGGAGTTTGGAGTGAAAGGGTGGCCGACCGATGGAATCCCGCAAGGAGCCTTCGAACCCACCGGGGGCCCGTAGCGGCTGGTAATCCCGAGCAATCACCGCATATGCAGCTTCGGCAAATCGCAGCGAAACCTCTCTTCGGATGGTGACATATTCTGTTCTGGCAGGATATTTCACATCTTTGTGGGGGACCAGCGCCACCATGGCTGAGATGGCTAGCGCGAGTGGACTTGCCGGCATGAACCCATCCGGATGGTGGTCCACCCTAACTGGATTGTGGGTAACAGGCAAACGATCAGGCGGAGGAAGGATGGGATAGTATGGATGTATGAAAATGTAGTATGCATCCAATCTGCATCGCGTCAACAAGATCCGATGCTTTATCATGGTCTTCCCCGCTTACATGTCCTCATTGCTGCCGTATAGCTGGACCGTGTTGACAGGCTGAGCGGGCTGCAAATCCCGGAGGGTCTCGACTGGGTTTCGGGGGAAAACAGAGTCAAACATGGACTCTATTTCCGCCATTGGAGTTCCAACGTTGCGCAGGGTAGCGCTGGGGCCACACAGTTTAGCCAGTTTCTGCATCCATTCTAGACTCGGCAATTAGCAACCGTTGATCAGCAGGACTCGGCAGTAAGGAGAGAAGAGGAGGAAGGAAGGCGGCAGGAGTATACCATTCCCATCGAGAGTTGATGCTGTCCCCGCCGAGGAGGGTCCTTTGGTTGAGGGCCCATTCTGAGCCGAGTGCGGATCTGACATGGCCTTGGCATCTAGTATGCGCGGGCCGGAAGTTACTGGGGTTGAAGCTGTCGTCTGAACCCGGAATATATAGAGACTGGAGGGATTCCTGACGAAGGGGCCAAAACACCGTTTGAGACCCGAGCCATAGGAACGGAAGCGGCCCCCACGGCTGTCAAAGCAAAAGATCAGTCAGGTTTCCGTCCGAACTACTGCAGCACCTCCCCGGATAATCCATGAACCCGATCGGTCCGTCCAGTACTAGTTGGACTGGACAGGGGTGGAGGGGGAGGGAGGAGGGTGAGCAGTAGCACCAAGAGTACTGACAGGACGACTAGTATTCTTTAGTCTCTCCATTCATCTTCCAGCACCTACCCAGCATTATTGTGGCCCGATTGGGTCGAGGTTCTCATTGGATCCCGTTCCAGACGCCGTCGTTGTCGCCCGGCTTCTGCTGATTTTATTGTGACTGTCATCGTTCCCCCATTGTCGAGACAGTATTCCACAGAATAATTCGAGAGAGGCGAAAAGGAAAGAAGAGACCAACCTCGGTCAGCAGTTTGTGAAAATCTTTATATGGTGGTCATCAGGGCAGTTCAAATCCCGACAAGTGGGCTAATTCCGCGGAGAGGGGCAAGATTTTCGGGATAGACAACTTTAGTTGGAGGTGGGATTTGCTTTGCTTCAAGATGAATCGAGAGCTGCGCCCTTGCAACCATCATCTTGGGCAGTGACCGGTACAGCCAGACCCGTGGTTTGCTTACTTGGCAGTAGGTTGGATTAGATTACTGGGTATCGGGGAATGGTTCACGATGAACAGACGGAGCCTGACTCCGTTGCTTGCTAAGTACTAGTAATACTAGCAGTAAATACAAACAGCTGATAGATGGAAGGACTTTCCAGAGTTCTCAGCCGGTGATTGAACCAAAGGTTGTACCTGATCAGGCCTGGCGGTGGGGGAAAAAATAGCCCGGCCAGACCCCGGGCGGCTTCTTCTGCCTTCTTCTGCCTCTTCTTTGGGGGGTTTTCCATGTCGCTTCGGCCGAAGCTGCAGGTTGGACCCACATTGATGGAACACGGACAGCCCCTCTCTTTCCCTCTCTTCTACCCCTACTTACTAGATAATTCGAGTCTCTAGTCTCCTCACCATTCGCTCAATTTCCTCCATTCTCCTGCTTCCATTGACTTCCTCGCTCCTTCGGCTCTGCAGTACATAATCCTTCTGCAGGTCCATTCGGCATTGATCCCCCCTCTCATATCCTATCCTGACCACCTTCTCGAACCGGATCGTCATCCATCTCATCTCAATAATACACCACCTTGTCCTTCCCCACACAAGCGCTTGCTGCCGCTAGACAAGCCCGTCTGCAGACCACTCTTCCAAGCGAGCGACACCTCATGCAGCTTAATGGAGATCGTTTGTCTACTGACGTTGAATGTCACAGCGATGTCCAGACGGAGCGATCAGAAAATAGTTTTCCGGCTTCATACTTTCCCGCGTGGTGCCCGACGCCAGTCGCACCCCTCGACACTCACGGAAGAACTCGGTTGCTGCTAAGCGAAGTTCCATCCAGGCGAGATGCACCCCAAGGCATATTCGGGTGCCGTACCCAAAGGGGGAGAGACCCTGCCTGGCTGCATCGGATTCCTGTCCATCACCTCCTAGCCAGCGACTGACATCGAAGGTTTCGGGATCAGGGTAAAGTCCCTCATCACGGTGCATGGTGTAACTCTGCGTGCTTACCGTCGTTCCTTGAGGAATCAGATATCCGCAAAAGGTCGCTCCGCCATTCGGCACGCCCCGAGGCAAGGAGCCTGGGGCTGCTCCATAGAGTCGTAGGGTCTCCGTGATGACGGCATTGAGCAGCGGCAGTTCCTCCAACGCCGCTTCGTTATAATTCGGATCCAGCGCACTGACCTCTTCTTCCAGATCGTGCTGGAGCTTCGGCTGCGACAGCACAGCCCATATCAGGTACGTCAGCGTGACAGCAGTAGTATCAGAGCCAGCCACGATCAGGTTGCCCGCTTCAATCACCACATCCTCCTCGGAAAGCGTGCTGCTCGCCTTCTCCGACTCACTGACTATTCCGGTGAAAATATTCCGGGTGGAGTTGCTATTCGCTCGACTATTTGACACCGCTCGTCTTCCATATTCAGTAAGATAGTCGCTGGGGCGAAACATCGCCTGGAAGGATGCAAGTGGGACATGTCGGCCAATGAGTGCCACAATGGGAAGCTCTACGTTGATTCCCGAACCCATCATGGTGGACTCTAAAATATCGATATATTTGTTTTTCTTCTGACCATTAGCCGAGTCTGTCATGCAGCAATGGGCACTTTCATAACGCACCTTTCCATACTGCAGCATTTTAAATGATTCACCGAACATCAAATGTCCGCTGACATCAGTGGCGAGAAACGTCCACCACTTTAGAACATCTGATATCCCATCCCGCAGCAATTCACCACGAATCCGAGACACGGCTAACTGGACTTTTTCCCTTACTACAGGCTCCCAAGTTTGTCTTAATTCGGATTTTGAGAATGCACGTGCAAACAACTTCCTCCGCGCCGCATGTTCCTTAGGATCCCGCATAGTAAAGACGCCCGGATTTCGGTCCCAGGAGAACTTTTGATACCATGGGGTCTTCAGGAAGGCCGACCCGACCCGATGAATCTCTTTGAACTCGGGCAGTGAGGAGATCGAAACCTCGTCCGGAGCAATACGCACTACAGGGCCATATTTCTGGTGCAGATCGTGGATAAAGTAGATGCGCTTTCCCGTAACGATCGATAACTTTAGCGGCAACCGAGTTGCTCTTGTGTACAAAGGCCCCGGGATGTGACGAAGGGGAGATCTGAGGAACTTGTAAGTAAACTATGCCTTTGGTCAGTAACTCTCTCATTGTAGGGTGCATCCTGCAGATATACTGCAGTGAAGACATGCATACCTGCAAAACCCAGATAGCCACCACAGTCACAGCGCACAATGCACCATGGCGCTCCATGTCAACCTTGAGTTAATTTGATAGTTATTCAGAGCAAAAATATGGAGTCATTTGCAAAAAGAATAAAAGGGGGGGGGGAGGAAAAAAAGATCCTTGAGAATTCACGTCTTTATATGTACATCATCCGGTCACGCCTTTGAGTCATGAACATACGCTCCTCATTTGCTGTTCGGAGCCCGGCTCCACCCCCGCTCTCCACACGCGGCTATTCTGCTCGAAATACCATCCAGTCACCCCGGTTTCCAAAATCCCTTTACTCACCACTGTCCCTCTTCACCAGTTCTATGACATAATGTCTAACCAACTATAAAATTGCCACCTCCAGCTCTATAGCCATAAGATGATGCGTGTACGGCAAGCCAAGCAATCTCGACTCCCATGCCAAGCATTAAGCATTATCCTACACAATCGTCAAGACTAGTGACATAGGGTGTAAACATTTACACTTATATTCTCGAGTGATCTTTCTAGAGAAAATTGATTCAAGGCATGACTGGGTTTTGACTGCCGGTATTGCGTCATACCGTGTAGCAGCTCAAACGCTTCGAATAACATCTCGCTCGCACCGCAGCCATCCAGATCGCCATCACATCCAGGCAGTTACCTCAAAACCAAAGGATATCTCATAGATTCATTCTTCAATCGCATGCAGTACTAATTCCCGAACGATATTAACATGAATGAGCTTAGAATCAAGCTGGAACTGGAAACCACTCACTGACTAAGGATAAGCAAGCATAGTTAGTTAACTAGTAGTTCCTGGCTAGCTGCCTAGCAGTCATTCATGCATACCCAGAGAAACCAATATTATCTTAACACCACTTTTCTTTCATTCACCGCATGATCCCAACTAACTCCCCATGTGTTTCGCAACTATCCCATTTCCTTTTCTCATTACAAGAGTCAATGTTAATGGATTTCACATTCTCTGCATATACGCGTCATAGACCAACCCCGAAAACGGTCAAACTTTTCTGTTTCTGTACTTCGATAATTACTTACTTCCGTACTTATTTTCCAAATAAATATTCATAGATATCACACTGACTGTCTGACTGACTAGTCAAGGTTTTCTTCTGTCATCGTAGTATAAAGTAATTATTATAATTGGATTTCTTGGGTTAAGAACTAATCTTTCTAGAAATACCGGTGCTTTATGGGAAAGGGAGGAAGTAGAGTACTACTACTACTACAACATATATGATGTAGCGAGGAAGGCAAGGGAATGGAAAGCTCACAACTCTCCGAAGATGGAATTTCATCATAACAGAAAGAACTTTTATTGAATTCCGCAGTACACCACGTCTGCTAATTTGAACCCAACCCAGGACCAAGAAAAAAGAAGAAGAAGCAGAAGAAGAAAAGTCTGGTATCATTACTAGAGGTATTCAGAGAAAAGAAGAAAAGGAAAAATCAGGTGCAAGGTATATACATGTGCATGATAATTCATGCAAGATGAAAGGTAAGGATGCCGTCCTCCGCGGCCCTCCGCGGAGAGGGATAGAGATAAGAAACTCCTGATCGAAGGATAGATGTCGGGTCGTCGGAGAGGGTATGAAGAGGGGGAAGGGAATCTGGAAAAGCCGCCACCTCAAGTATAATAAACCGTATATAGTAGTACAAAGATAGGCGTGAGAAGTAGTATAACATAGAAAATGAGGAAAGCCATAATTCTGAGGATGTTCGGTGGGCAACTATCTCCCCCACATCCGTGCTGACGAGTCATTGATCCTCCCATGGTGACGGTCTGAATCCTTGCTCGAGCGATCGCTGCTCTCTTCGACTTCATTGTCGAATGCAGGTTCAGAGGTAATCTCGATCGTCGTGTGTTGGTACACCTTGCCCATGGGGGTCAATTCCACGCCGGCAGTCTGCACGATGTTGTCGGTGGAGCCGTCGCGCACAGTTTGCTCGAGATCATCATCTTCATGATGTACGCCCTTGCGCAGAGCGCTGATGTCCGTCCGGTTCAACTTGGGGTCCGCGGTGATGGTGGTCAGATGGTTTTCTGTGGTCTTTCGGCCCTTGCTGCTGGCGAAGCGGTTGTAACTGCGATCGTGGCTGGGTTCCGATTCCAGGATCAGGTTTCGACGGGTCAGGGTGTAAAGCAGGGCATCAACCAGTCCGGAGCTGGTGATCAAGGCACCGGCAACACAGAAGTAGGCTATACTTGGGGAGTTGCCTTGCGCGGTCGCCATTCGACCTGCGGCCAGAGGGAGCGAAAGGACAATGTAGGCGATCGGATAGATAACCATGTATCCGATGACGCGGCGAAGGCGCTTGAGACTTTCGATGTGACTGCTGCCCAGAATGGCGGATTGCTTGATCCGGATCCGCAGCTGGAACCACATCACCGCGTACAGACAGACCGTGCCGAATTCGGCCAAGAAAATCCAGATATAGTGAGTCCAGAGACGGATGGATTCGTAGTCTTCGCTGATCCAGCACTAGAAGCGCGAAAGTTTAGTTGTGGGCCCATTCGAATAAGGAGGATGACTTACCCAGGCACCGGATGGGATAAAGACGTAGCGGCCATGAGCAGCAAGGGGGATGATAACTAGGACGGCGACGAAGATCCAAACTCCAATGACGAAGCTGACGAAGACCCGATGGCTCATTTTCCGCCCAAGGGCGACGAGAAGGAATGTATGAAAAGCGATCGCCATGACGAAAAGTCCACTTCCTGGGTCTCCTACCTGCAGCCAGAATCCCTGGAGGAAACAACCTGCCGAGTCGGCGGAGATCTTATCCTCTGCGATCCATTTGATGCATATCAGGAAGGCGAGCGCTTGCTGGAGATCGGCCAAAACGAGGTTGTAGATGAGGATGACATATTGATTGTAACCGATGTACCGGGCATAGGAACCGCGCCAAAAGATGAGTCGATAGCTGATGAAACAGATCAAGGCCAGTGTCGCTATGAAGGATAGAACTGCCATGACAGAGACCGCAATAAGACCTTTGCGCTGCGTGCTGGGGAGGGGATCAATGTCCAGAGTGACACCACCCGGGCCATAGATCGTTCGGCGGAATAGGTCGCGTCCCCCTTCATCGAATGCCCCCAGGGCACTCAAGACATGTACAAGACTCATTGTTGATCGGGAGTTGTGAATCGGATGCCGGGGTAGGCTGCGGTCATTATTCTCTTCCTCAAGCGGCGGAGAAAGCTGCAGCTCGACCCGGGGGATAGGACGGTGATTTTTGTAGAAGCCCCAGATGGAAGATAGTGGGTTGCGGCGATCTAGATAATTCCTGGAGTGTCGACAAGAATGGGCAAAGTAGTGCAAGGCCGATCAGTGTTCGAGTCAGGGGTCAAGCCTTCGCACGTACTTGCCAGGACTACCCAAGAAACAGTCGAAAAGTAAAAGAAGAGGGGAAAGGGGACATTGCGCGATGGAAGTAAGAAATGGACGAGCCACACACGCACATGGAAGGCTAAACTACCGGCAACGGGGAGTGGGTTTGCTGTGGAGGGCCAGCCCTTTACCACGCAAAGCTTTTCGCCAGATTAGTTTTAGATTCTGCTACTCATGAGCCTACGAAAGTAGAAAGTGAAAACTAGGAAGTCAATCAGTAAGTCGAAGCTAGTCTACCCCATATCACGGTCTGGGCCGACGTATCCCGTGCTGGCCTATGGAAAGAAATGCCCCCCAGGGTTGCCCCTCACGAAAGTCAAAACCAGGGGGCTCTGAAGTCTGAACAGGGAAGGTCGACAAGGTCAGCAAGTACTCTGTCCTATAGCGGCCTAGCAATAGATTCAAGTGGTTCCTGAAACCTTGAAGTTTGGATGGCAGACCCGGCGCCAAGCGTAGGGGACGAACGTGGTTTTTTGGTTCGGCATGTTTACTAGCGGGCTGGTACGGACTGGTTCCGGTAGCCTAAATTCGACTGTCTACACTAGGAGGTAGAAGGTAGATAGAGGCATTGAGTTAGGGAGGATATGATCATCTTGCTTCTCGCCACAGTCTGGCAAGTTGGCAACCGGCGCAGGTGGCACAATTCGAGGATGGAACTCCAAACCACCATCGTTAGGCCGTGTAAGATTAGCCTATCAAAGGTGCAGGGTGTCAGGGGAAGAAGCATTCTAACGGGACCTCGGGTCTGCGAGGAGGAGCATGGTACTGGTAAATGTGGGTTCGACTTGTGCCGCGGCCAAAGGAAAGCGGTCCGCGAGTCAAACTTGGACCAAACAGGAGTGGCCACTCCCCATGCAGTACCATGGCCGCGGGTGCAACAATTTCTGTCACCAGGACTCCAGTCTTTTTCGTTGTAAGCGATGTTGCACAGTGGACAAGCGACATTAAACTGCTCCGAGCAACACACCAACAGACACCAACAGAAAATTTTCGAAAATCTGTGGCCACTATGGAGCGCCAATTTTCTTTCTCACTGCCATAGCGGGAAACGCCCCAGTCGGTATCGCGTTAGCATGGCCGGGAGACATTGAGCGTGCCATGCCATTGATTCCAGAAGCCTGAAGGTCCCGCTTCGCGGATCGGCTTAGAAATTGATTTAGAGGATCCACCGGGTTACTACAAGTGTAAATCATGACGCTAGATTGCTTTCTGTTTTGGTAATCAATTACCTTGAAGATAAGCAAGAGGAAATAATCACGCAGCCGAGCAATGGCAGGATCGTGGCGATCGCGGACTCGGACAGAACGATTGGGTCAAGCAAGCACCCGCCTCCAGCTGCACTGGGCCTCGATCGTCCCTGAGCGGCAGTATCGGAGTGCCAGACAGATACTACAAAGTATGTATTCTGGGTCTCGCGGCTGCGATGCGGTATCTGAGGGAGGAACCATGGAAAGGCATGAGCACACGGCAAGGACCCTCGCAGTCACTGATGATACGTGTAAGGTGTAATGGCACCATGCAAATATAGAAGTGTCTCCGACTCCTTCTGAGGGTGTGTGTAATTTTATCAATCGTTGTCGGTGCGGTGTTCTGCAAGTGTATTCTGTTGCGGCTAACCAGCAACTTAGGGTGGAACACTTTAATAAGCGGGAGGCACTAGTGTATCCGAATGAGTTTCAAGAGCCGTCAACAGTCAACACCAAACAGGCATTCTTGTCGAATTTTGCAAAAGCGCCCTGGAGGTGACGCGGCTCACTCGATGACTGCACTGTAGTGTCTCCATGATGAGGATCTGATACCATTGTTGCTGCAATGGCACCAACCGGTCGGTTTAGTGTTGAGTATCAATGGATCCCTGGCCGCTACAGTCCTATCATGGCCTCCAGGAGGAGTTGATAAGGGCCTTTTCATTAGTACACCGCACTACCGTATACTTGTCCTCTGCATTATCTTATCACCCATATTAATCGACGCGGAATGTTCCTCCCTTGTAGGAAGAATAGAGAAGAATAGCTGGTGTGAGTCGAGGCGGTCGTTTCACTGCTTCCCACAAGATGTACCATGATGGATCTGGTTGGCATCAATAGAACAACAACAAAGGGGACACAGTGCCTTTGGAACACTGTTCACGCGCCAGCAAAACTTCACCCCTCATTTTGGTGCTTCTTCGACTATCAAGTTTGTAGTAATGCAGCGGTGTCTACAGAAGCAGTATAGCCAGGCCGAGTGGAGATTAGTTCGTACCACCCAACGGTTTTAATCAACCCAATACCGGTGCTATTACCCAGAACAGGAAGGTGTGGACGAATCACATCTCCCCAATGATTTCCACTGGCCTGACAAAAGTACTACTTACTAACTCCATCCATTCGACTACTTCGGGGCTGTATTGCTCTTCTTGTCGAGCCAGCTAACTCTCCGCCTCTGCCAAAGGTCGTGTCTTGGAGCTGCATGGGTTTATTCGCGATGCAGCTCGTTTTAATTCCAAGGGTACCGTTCTGGTGATGCTGCTTTATCAAGTCGCGTCATCTGCGTCTGCGCTCGTACCACCAAGATTACCAACCGGTTCCCTTTGGCATGGGTGTATAAGTTCATAGTGTATCTCCATACTAGGTACACTATCCTAGCAGACTCCTCGGACTAGCCTACATAAGGTTCCTTGGTACACACCTACGTTCCTTGGCTAATGAGCTTCTTTCATTGGTACTTTACAGCAGGAGAACACGCCCCGCTAAGAGATCCCCTAGATGCTGTCCTGGTGATACCAAACATACTCTGATCTCTTCTGTTGGTCCTGTTTATCATGGCCTCACACATAAACACTCGGCGCAATGCATCGAACGTTTCGTGGACCCTTGACAATCCCGGCCAATTCCGTGCGCATGGAGTTGTGCTCACAACTGGGATCTATCAACAGGCTGTTTGTCAGATGTATCTTAATCTTCACATGCCTGGCAGACCAGTGTAGACTGGATTGACAACCGTCAGAAGCAGTCAACCTGCCGCTGCCAGTATGCGAAACCCCCTTTCCAATAATGAGACCCCTCAAGCTTCTTCCTGAATCGTAAGACTATCAACTTGGATGGGCTCAGGAAGATCACAGCACATGCTCTGAGGGCATTTGGCGCCAAAGGTCATACCAAAAAGCAAGATGTACCTTGCCAAGATTGGCTATCTTGTGCTACCATGTAGGCTGACATATCATTGTGAAGATCATGACTCTATGCATGAACGTGCACCTAACTTGGAAGTTAAATGGTCCTCGCAATGTGGCCCGCTTACAAGGGGAACCGCATTGATTGTGAACATTGCCGCGGGGCAGTCTATCACAAGCTGCAGATGCCGAAAGGTATATGACCCGGAAAGAAACACATCCAAACAATGCATTGATAGTACTGAAAGGCTCAATTAAAGCATTTCTGAGCTGATATATTACAGCGCAATCGCGAAAATTGGACATTGCTTGTGTCTTGATTATATGCCTTTTCTATACAAGTAGAACATGTGGACTAGAGCACATGCAGATTATTATCACGGTCGGTTCGTCCAGTTTTGGCATCGTTTGCTGATCTCTCAGGGTCGGCGCTGAACAGATCTGCTCCATGATAGATCTTTGTCGATCCAGCATACAGCTGCTCTCACGAGAACAGCGAGTTCAGTTAGGTTGTCGTCAACGAGTTTCCTCTTAGAGTACACCCCGGCTTGAGACCTTGTTCATAACGACCGGATTGTTACCGTCACGCTGGAACGAAGGTGTCATGGCCGTTAAGGGGGTCCACAATTCGTGGCGATCACTATTATTGCTACCGTGAAGAGTAGGGTTCTTGGCGCCTTCGCATCCAGCGTCGGCAGCCCGGCAGAACTAGGCATCACTGTCCGCTACTGCCAAGCGATCGACATTCTGGCCGCCCCTACGGTAATTGTCTATGGTCTAACTACCCGTCTTTCAGAATCATCTCGAACTAAGAATCCGTCACAACTTAATTTCGCATTATCTCGTGACAATAACTTTATGCATGCCTTGTCTCTGCCTTGGTGGCTGCTTTCATGCACGAAAGTCATTGCCTCATGGGCTCAATCTACGAAACTTTGACAGCTCGGAAAGGGGTGAAATAAAAACTCTTCACCTCTTGGCAGTCTCCAGTTAAATTACTTGGCTGCCCCTCAAGGCCAGCGTCCTGACTCGGCCCAATCCCGTCTTAGGGCGCCGACGGAAGGCTCCAAGCGTCCAAGGAGCCATTCACACCGTGTGGGACGGTTCAGCTTCAACAACCGAAGTCCCGAGAAATCGGTAAATCCAGCCCGGCGTCAATCACCAGGAGGGTTCTCCTGTGTGGTGTGGTGTATAACTGCCTTATGCTCCAACACCCGAGCATTGTTATCCGTTGATGTCGAATAACCTTCTGATAGGAAGACTAAGCAGCAGATGCTATTGTTCCTTGCCTGAAAGGCCGACTAAAAGGCAGCTTGTTCCCGCCTGGACAGTCGCGTGGGAAATATAGTCCAAAGACCCCTCCCTGTTCCCCAACATGCTCTTTACCTCTGTCCCTTCGCGCACATTCCTGCCCTGGTGGCTTTCACTTTCAGGAATTGGTTCCACGAATGCCGAGACTTTACTATGGTAGCTTTCGGAACTCTCGTCTCCAGCAAACGACACCAATGACAGCCCCTCACAAACTCTCCGGCCGGCCACCGAAAGCCAATTGCGGGTTTAGCTTCAAAAAGGGTGAGCAAGGCGGGGTTTAACTTCGATAAAACCGCAGGGCTATCGCAACTAGTGTTACCCTGTTAATGGGCAAAGCCGACCTCCCCTTTTCGCCCCTCTTCACATTTCAGTCTATCAAACCCAAGAAACCCAAGATCCAGTCGAGCCGTGCTTACTCGGAAGGGTTGCTGCCGAAATTCTAAATTTGTTGTCCCCTCCCGGGTGCGGAACCAAAGAACCTTGTGGCTACAGGATCCATTTTCTGGATGAACCATGGATACTCAACAGCTGATCTTGAACCAGATGCAGTAAGTAGCACGAGAATCAAGCACTCGAAAATGATAAGGTAATGAGAATGCACGGATATCGAAGCTGATCCGGAAGGTCGAAATCGTCCAAGCTATGGAGCTGCGAATCTGGGGTGAATTGCTCCGACTCAGATGGGATGAGGAATAACTAAGTTGGGCTTAGCCCGAAGCACACTTTATGCTCTGAACCTTGTGATGATGAGTGAGAAATTAGTGTCGACGAAGAAAGGGGAAGGCGACTACCCATGAACAGTACTGGGCTTGCTTGATTTCCTCTGCAGAAGGAATCGGTTCACTGATCTAGGGAGAGTACTACACAGGACTGAGACAGCCCCTAAGCAGAACAATAGCGCTACGTTTGGCTACATACAACGCGTTGGTCACCCTTGACTTACCTACCATCTCACTCTCTGGACAAGGTCTATTGTCATCAAGGGGTACCTTTATCCCCGTACGAAACTATGAACTGAACCGCCCAGGAACAATGCAAAGCCATAGCAAACACACGTGCGGGGTACAGATGACAAGAAGGATAGTCAATCACATTGAATTGAATTTTTCCCCGCTTCGTATTCACTTCTTTCTATCCTTCGTTGGTCTGTGGGAGGAAGGAAGGGAAGGCGCACCATCGGATTCCCCCACCTCGTATTCTACAACCTTCTGTCTTGCTTCTTCCCCACAGAATAGGCAAACATTTCTGGAATAGTGCAGATCGAGACAGAGTTCCTTGCCTTGCTTTTCCACTTCAAACTCACCGTGTTATTATCCAGAGAAGCGGTGTCGAACTCGGTACTGTACTGGAATAAAAAGAATCATATAGTCAGGTCCAGATCATGAAAAACCAGTTGTTAGCAGAGTAGGAGAATGTGGGTAATACTGACATCAGTAGTATATATACTCTTCAGTTGGAATTATACGACTACTCATCTGTAGATTCTCGCTGGTATTGGAGGGAAGACGTGTTCAATTGAAAGATCAATATGATGAGCCAATCTGGAAAAGCAGCACAATCAAATAAATGTAGTAATAGACAAATGATACAGAGATATATATAAATCATGTCTGATAAGTTAAGTTATGGAAGATTATTGTAATTAGTATTGATATTGACATCCACTTTAACATCGCTGACGATGTTGCGATATACTTCTTCCGCAGGAAGATAGTATAACACTACCCTTCAACTAGAACACCCAATTTTAAAAATTAAAGATAGTAACTACAGTTATCAAGTAGTTAATATACATCGTACAGATCTACACATCTAGTAATCTATCAATATGTTTTCGAAAGTAAAGACCTGTCTGTACTGTATGTATTACATCCCAAGTGGTGCGAGATATATATATATATAGAATGTACCATAAGAATTACCGGACTAAAGACTCCGTCGATACAAAACAACTACTAACTAAACTGACAACTAAAACCAACGGAGCCTATATTCAATAAGATATAAGATACTACGCAGTGAAAGAAGTAGTAGGTTTTATACAACTGAATAGTCACGTAGTACTTAACCAAGCTACAAGCTCCGGGTAAACAACAACTACTAAATGTGAACTATACGATGGTACTTTGAGGTGCTACTATTTTCTGGATAACTTACTCCCTCTCTATTTCTCATTCACTGTTAGTTAGAAGATTAAACTGGAATATCCATCCATCTGCATCGGCCTGTTGAGCTGTCTATATGTAGTGTTCCTGTTGTGAGGGACTTCGGCGGTATAGACCTTTAGATTTAACAAAAGGTTTGCTTGATTTTACTATCTACAGAGCGAGTAAGGGAGAGAGAAGCCATGTCCTCATGCTGAAAGCAAATCGATAGTATAGACAAATATACTATTCAAGCATAATATCTAAATATAAAAGACACCTATATGCAGCTGGTATTCACCGATTCATAAAGTCATAACATCAGAGGGGACGTATGTACAACGAAGTCATTATCGTTGTCAGCAGTTGATGGGTGGGAATCGAGAAACAAGAAAGCCGGACGAACAGAACAACAGGAAGAAAAGGAAACTTCGTTAAAATACATAAACATTAAATGTCGTGCATGTCATTTACATACACACCCGCCATCTCGACTTCCTCGAGTCTTCAATGCGTTGATACATTTCATCTCATCTCGTCTCGTCTCGTCGCAATTCATGCATTCGTGGTTCCGTGCGCTCGTTTAGATGTCGTGTATGACGCTGAATGAAATGAAACTAAAATCAAGAGACCATGCGGATGCGGTTGCGTTATTGGTATTTTGTATATGGGTTGAGAGGAGTTGACCGCCGTCAAGGAATAGTTCCGTAGGAGGATTATCTTCTCCGGGAGCCTCGCCGGCTGTCGTATACTTCTTCCTCGTCCTCCTCTTCCACAGGAGCAGGTGTCCGTCGTTCAGTGCGGCGCTTTGGACGGCGCCGGCGGTTGGAGCTGATGTTGCTGGCCGAGTCATCTGGGGCCAATGACACGGCGTCGTCTAAGAAGTCGTCATCTGCCCCATCATCCCATACGCCTAGGCCAGAGGCTGGAGTCCCCAGGCGAGCCTCCACGTAGGAACCGCGGCGGTTCTGGTTTGCAATCGACAAGCCTGCGCCACGTTCGCGGAGCGCGCGCCGCACCACCTCTGCCTTGCAGTGAAGGGCCTCAAAAGCATCTTCAAGTGCCTCCATACCGAGGTAGATGTCCCGTTCAATTTCCGCCAGAGCCGCGATTTCCATTTCCTCGTCCAGGGCGATCGGGCCACCAAATGAAGCTGGAGCAGGTGAGGGAGACGGGCCATACGGCTGACTAGCGGGTCGGATCCCTCCGTCAATTGGGTTTGGTGTCGGACCACGCGAGATCCCGCCGGTGGTGAACGGAGTATTGGATCGACTGTAGCTATAACGTGGTGGGGTGGAGCCTGGTGCGCCGGGGAAGGTGTCTTCAGCACCACTCCGCAGAAAACCATCAAAACGACCCGAAATCAGAATATCCCACTCGTCGTCACTGATTGCTGCCAAGGTGGCGAGAACATGGTGCATGCCGGGATTGTTCAGCATATAAATGGCAGCTTCGGGATCACGCGGAGCGGAGGTCAATCGGTACAACCGCTGGATGGCGAGCGACGATGACACCAAGGGTGCGGGTCGGGGCCGCGGTGGCCCCTCCGGTCGCGGTGTAGGCACTGTAGAGCCGAGGCCGAGAAGAGCGGAGAATAGTTGACGTTCATGAGGCCCGAGATGGGTCAAGATGGCAAAGGTAAGGGTTTCGTCATCTACCTCCTCAGGCGCGCTCGTAGCCTGACCGGACTGCTCGTTGAGCCACTTGTCCACAGCAACTTTCGTCTTGCGCGACTGACGAATAAAGTGGTCGCGATACTCCTCCGGCACATCAATGTCCAGCTTCTGCATGGGAATATGTTCCTCCCCAGACCAGTTCGCGTCAACCACAGCTGGGTTCAATATAAAAGCCGGCCAGCTGGGAAGTTCACGACGACCCGAGACAAGCTCCAATACCTCACCCCAGCTGACGCCTGACGGACGCTCTTCCATTGTCTCATGCTCACACATCAGACAACTGCAATACTCGCATGAAATGTCACGGGCAAACACCGCTTCCAAGCGATCGAGCAGGCGGCGCGCGACAGACCGATACCCCGTGGCAACCGCTAGCGACCCGTTTTTGGCCATTACACTATTGTAATCCTCGAGAAGTCTGTTGAACGGTTCAAAAATCTTGGTTGCCGCGGATTGAGAAGGCGATGGCGCATACGTCGAACCCTCGGGAACAGAAGGGCCGAGCATAGACTTCGGAACACGATGGTCTAGCCCACCATTCTGTAGAAGATAGTCCACTTTCGGTATCGAGACAGGAACTTCGGGAGGAGGAGGTGGCGGTGGTGGAGCACCGTAGGCAGAGCTCGCTGTGGGTGGTCGTCCATAATCATACGCAGCGTCAACCGGTGTACGAGCCCCAAAGCTCGGGCGAGATGAGGCCGACGATCGTGTCTGGTTGCGCGATGGCGGCTTCTCTGGACTCTTCGGCTTGCGAGAGGTCGTAGACTGATGAGGCGGCGCAATGGTTGCGTCCGATCCATTTGCTGAGTCCGGACCAATGTCGCGCACTGTCGCGGGTGAGCGAGGGGGAGTAGCATGGCTGGATGGCCGCTTGGGGGAAGCTGTTTCCTCGACGATCTTTGACCGGGTCGAATTGCGACTGGCCGTCCGTGACGGCAAATCAGACTCATAGCTGGAGCGCTTCGGTTTTACCGTCTCCGACCGTGTTGGCTTGCTCGTTTTGGAACCGTCATCCTTCTTCGACCGCAGACTCGAGGATGACCGCGTGGACTCTGCTCTAATCCGAATCTTGGTTTTTGGCTTCTCTGGCTTCTCCTCCGCTCCTTTGTCTTCTTTGCTACCAACAGTGCTTGCCTTGTGTGATTGCTGGTCCACGCTCGTCAGTGGCGGGCTGGGGGGCGCTTGGTTGTTATTCTCGGCACGGGTCTTCGCATCTCCATTGCTACCTTCTTTACCTCCCTCGGTCAGATCGGTCGGGTCTGGTGTAGGGATGTTCGGTTTGCTGATGACTTCTTTGCTGTGGGCTTTGGAGAAGGTCGGATAAGGGAGGCTGGTCCTCGACTCGAGGAACGAGGCTGTGCCCGAGTGGCTGGCGCTGTCGACGCCAGGCATGGAGGAGCGGCGCTTTTTGCGGGAATTGGACGTAGATGTGGAAGGGGTTGAGGCGCGGCCCGTGGGAGTATCGGGGTCGCGTTCCTTGGTTGAAGTGCGGGAGGTCTGTCCGTGGGACGAGCGATTCTTGCGTGGTCTGGATTTGGATGAAAGGGTCGAAGATGAAGAAGTCTTTCTCTCCCGGTCCCTATCGCGATCTCGTTCATTTAGTCTCAGCGGTAGAAACATTATGTGGAAGAAGGTGGAAAGGTTTCGAAAAAGAGGGTGAAAGGAAGGGTAGAAGACGGCAATAGAGCGTTGTCGTTCTTCCTTTCCACCCCTTGTTTCCTGCTCTCGTCCCCACTGTCGGATCGGTTGATATTTTCGTCTAGTTACCTCGTTTCAAGTGATGATAAAAAAAGTAAAGAGCAGTGACGGAGGAGTAGTCGTCAGCTTCCCAAGGGAATGTCACGAAAGGAAGGGTGTAGTCGGATGACCCGAGACCCGATTGATGTTCGTCTGGCGCTTAAGAGATATCGAGGAATGCAACTCTCACTGGTCGAATGCCTGACTAGGCGCTTGTGCCAAACCACCAAAGGCGCTGCTGAAGGGCATGCAACATCCCGTGGGCGGCGGGCGGGCGGGGGGAACGACGAAAAGAGGAAAGTGAAGAAGATCACGACGATTAGCTAAGGTGACAAAAGCGAAGAAGGAGGGGGGAAAGGGAATAAAACAATCAAATAGCGAGTAGTTCAGGGACGATGCATAAGGGAGAGATGGCGAGCCAAATGGATGGATGGGGGATTTTGCGGTGAGAGACGGGCTGGCGGAGAGGATGGATCCCCGCAGCGATTCGGCGGTGGTGGGATTTTCCCAATTTTAGTATAGCAGCAACTAGAAGCTCGGAGACCACCAGTAGTGACGTGGTGCTGCATAGAAACCCAAATGGGGAGCACAGAAAGGCAGTCAGTACAAATAAATAGCAGCAAGGACCACGCCACTGCGATGGGCTGGTCTGGATGCTGCTGTCTTGGAAGGATAATGCTGGGAGTGGTTCACTTTCCTGCATCCAATGGGATTGTTGTTCCCAGCATCAAGAAAGAAAGAAGATCCAAGTTCACGATTAAATTAATTAATTCATCGCGAGGGGCGTGATCCCGTTGGCCTCAGGCACTGTACTCGGCTTGTGCCTGAGGCAAGGATGGATGGCTACCCAATGACTCACTCACTCACCCTTCAAGTGGATCAGCACAAGCGAACTGGATGCTGGTGGATTGTATCCAAATAGGATGAAGCCTATCTCTATGATTATTAAATTGATCAGAATTATGCCCTTCCATATTGGCTGAGTGGCCATTTACAGTATACCCTAAGTTTGTGGTCTTTAGATAGATCGAATACGATGTCGAAAGACATTTATCCGTAGCATGATATGAACGTCTACGGTATCAACCGAATCAAGCTTCCCAAAAAAAGGTTGTCTGTTATCAACAGGGTATCAAAACGCTACCACACCCACATAAGCATTGCAAAACTCCTCTTCCCTAGATGCCAAGGCCTAACTCCATACTGTCAATCCATTCGACGCCTTCTTCACAGGCGACATCTCCAGAACCCAATTCCCATCCTCCTCATGAGCCACCCCTCCTCGACGTGCTGCTCGCATCACTCGTTCACTCGCCGGTGTTCTCTCTGCAGTATGTCTGTCCCACACCCAACCTTCTTTCAGCCACATCCACGTCAAGTACGCCCGTAGCTCTTTATCTTGCGGCAACACTGATTTCCATTCAGGACTGAAAGACGTCTTGGAAGCTCCCTGACCTATCCAATCCGAGGCAAGTCCCCGAAGTTCGTCACGGCAGAAGATCCTCCAGCTGTCCAAAGAATAGGGTCCGACACCAGGAAGGTGAGCAATCTCCCAACCCACGCGAGCGTCATCATCTGCAATAGTTTCATCCGCGCCGATATCACGTCCATCTCCCTTGCAGGGGTAGTGAAGTTTGCGGTAGCGCTTTCCTTTCGTAGGTGGAAAGGCCAGCCAGGTCTGGGCTAGTGTAATGCACTTTTTCGCTCGCTGGTTCTGAAATCCGAGACAGTGTATCATAGATGCCAGGGTGGATGGGTCCGTCGATGCCATCGCCTCCACCGTGGGGAACCGATCAAACACTTTGAATAGCACTGGAAGCGCAACGCCCCCGCGAGTACGGTTCAAGAAAATGGTGGCAATCAATAGACGGAAAGGATCATGAGCAAGTTGCTCCTGTACCAAGCCGAATGATGGCGCATCGATGGGCGGAAACGGAAGACATGACTCAGGGTCGACCAGAGGTTTGGGAAAGTATGGGGATATCTTTTGAGGCCTGAGACGGGGTGTTCTAGGCAGCACAGGAGCATCCCCTGTGGATGTTGCTTTAGTCGGCGTGCTTGGCTCTACAGCCTCTGGTGCACGCTGTATTTGATTAGGTGAGACATCGAGAGAGTAATCAAATGAAATATCATCGAAACCGCTAGGTACATCACTCAAGTCTGAATCAGTAGAAAGGAAATCCGATGAAAGATCCAGCTTAGATAGGAGAATTCGGGTTTCTTCGGGTATCCGATCAAGAACATTCTTTGAGTGGGTATTTCTTCTCTCTTCGCAATGCACATTCCCTTTCTTCAATTTCTGGGGGGCGATGAAATACTTCGACCTCACCTCATCGCTGGTGGTTGAACTTTGCGAATCATTGGTATCTAAAAATCCTCCAGATTCCAGAATGCCTCGTCCAAGATAGAAAGATCATCGACCACTATGGTATTGGGCTTTGCTGTTTGATTTGCTTCAGAATCACGGCCTTGTTGAATGTCATCTGCACTCGTCGACAATGCGACATGTTCAGTGCTCGTAAGGCTTGCGCGAAAATGTTTCTTCTTTCGCTGTTTGCGATTATCACGCTTTCTTCTATTCTTTTCTTTCTTGGACAGCACACGATCGGGATGCTGCGTTATATCGCTCTGCAGGGATTCAGGCTGCTTGGCTTGCGTAGCCGAGGGGAGTTCATCTTTCGCCGAAACAGGCTGAGATGGTCCAGTCTTCTTATCCTCCTCACCCTCGTCCTCCTCGTCCTCCGAATCACGAATGGTGTGCTGGCCTGGGAATTTGGGAGAAGAGTGAAGTGTCATGGACCTTTTAATTGATGCTTGCTGCGATGGGAGTGTTTCGGCATTCGCCTCCTCGGATTGAGTGGTCTTTTTCTCAACAGAGCTTTGTTTGTATCCTTCCTCAGAATGTGGCGGTGATGGAAGTCTGTGATTCTCATCATTATGTCTATCTGCGGCCTGTCCAGCAATTGGAGATTTGACCGGGACATTCTGCGTGGTGACTGGCTCGGGACTTTCGTTACCACTCGGGCATAGATCAATAGTAATTGCCGGCATGCCCTTAGCGGCATCTTTAGTTCTTTCCCGGCTGACCTTGGAATGAGACGCGGGAGGCTTCGCGGTCGAATTGTTCGCGTCCGGTCCATCAGCTTCACGCTTTTTACGGTGTCCATTGGTGATGGGTTCGAGCGACTTTCTTTTCTTCGATGTAGTCTTCTTTTCCTCCTGTTTCGATGTTGTCTCCTGTTCATTGCCGGCGCCTCGCTTCCTCTTGTTGTCCTTGTTAGACAACTTCGGCGGGCTTGTTTGCCCATCCTTGATCTCCTCGCCAAATCCAGAACCATCCAGACTCATCTGGCCATTCCCATACAGCTCAAGGTAGATCTTCTTGACATATGCAATCAGCTTTCCGAGATCAGCCTCTTCCATACCAAGCGATCGACTCTTTCGACGTAATTCACGAACGAATTTTCGTCGCGCGGATCGTAGCACAGGATATTCGCCTTTTTTCATGAAGGGGTGTGAGCTGATGAAGGTAAGCAGGTCCATCCTCGTATCTAGGTCCACAGACGCGAAGACGATGTCCTCCTCGGAGGCGTCATCCAAAGTTTCGCCATCATCGACGATCGTGTGTCCATTAGGCCCAACCAAACTCGCACTAGACTCGGTATCGTTTTCTTCGTCATTGGAGTCGATGCGACTGATGTGTCTCTGTGCCGCCTTCTGGGTCTTAGAGCGCTTTTTGCTTGGAAAATAAGGCGAGTCCACGTTTGCAGATTGCCTAGCAGCGGTGACTGCCGAGGTGTGGTCACCCCCGCTTCGTGTCATGTCATCCTCTCCGTTTATACCATCGCTACCGCTATAGTCGTCAAAGCTGTTCTCAAAGCTTGCCTCGTCTGACAGTATCTGATCCACCGTGCGTTGGGTCACCTCATCGAATGAATTGTGGAGGTCAATGTTGATATGCGGAGGCGAGATCCGGACCAAAGGGAACGTGGAGACTCCTTTGCCACCTGCCATGGCTGCGTTGTGTATGATTGACGGTCTATCTGCTAGGTTTCGTTTCGTAGATGCCGACTGGGGGTGTATAACAAGAGTGCAGCAGTGTGTTGGAATAGATTGTAGAAGTAGAGGCGCATGGTCAGGAAATCGAGAGAGAAGTGTCAAAAGACTAACATGGAGAGTGAATTGATTAGTGAATGAGTAGGCCATACCTCTCTCCATCTATCTGCAGGAGATCCACTCACAGGAGTAACACCAATCCACCATATCCAAAACCTCGCGACTCCAACAGCCATATGCGCAAGCTAGAGCAGCCACATCGACCGCGAAAGAGTGAACGAATCCAACACGACGGAAGACTTTCTCGGGATTTCCTAATGATAAGGCTTCAAGCCATTCACCCAATCGGCGAAGACGATAGAATCTCAATTCATTCACAACCGACGACCACCAGGCGAGGATGAACTGGAAGCCAGTGGAACAGAGAGACACACATTCCTCATTCTGCTGGCGCGCGCCGACGCGGAACCCGGGCAGCGCACGGGCCACCTCTGATAGATCACGCCCGCCATCTGATGTGTCCCGCCCCTTCCATGTCAGGTCCTTGCATCTGTTACAGACTCACATCAGACCGATCGACTCGAGGAGTGAAAAGGGGTGGCAGGCTGCAGAGATTGTAGTCGGCGTACGAAGTACTTCTCTACTTCTTTTAGAAGTAATCACACGTCGTGATGTGCCTGGGTAGGTTTGTCCATACCGCAACAAAGTGCGGAGATACCATGCGGGGCAGTCGAGTAGACGTTTCTTTGCATTGTATAATATTAGCAGTACATATCTGACTCGGATACTGTCATAATTCGTTTCGATATTCAAGTCTAATGCTATATGTATACTTTATCTCTCGCTGCAACTCAAGTCCAAAAGTGTAAATCCAAGACAGAAGGTATCGCTCATAAAACCCTCATATATGTATAGTCAGGGTGGACATATGCACTATAGATCCCTCAAACAGCAAACCCTCCGGAATCAGCCTGCCTAGGCTCCCCTGCAGCATCGAAAGTTCCATTCGGTAGAACTCGAATTGCCTGCGCCGTGCTCTCCCCTGGACCTACCCAGGTCACATTGTGACCTCTTGCCTCCATGAAGGACACAGTCTCATTGTCATAATCGTACTCAAAGGTAACACGATTCGGGACCAGTTGATCATGAAGGCGCGGCTGAGCCAAGGCTTCTGCCGCTGAAAGACCTTCGTCGACGGCATGTATAATGTTCTGGATGGTGGCAGTGATAATCCGACTACCTCCTGCCGAGCCGGCGACGAAGAACACTGTTCCGTTAGGGTGGGTGACAATGGCTGGAGTACAAGAGGACAGTGGGCGTTTCCCGGGTCGTATGAAGTTTGCCTCAGAAGGGATATAGCCAAAAGAGTTGGACGAATTAGGAATAGAAAAGTCTAGACTATAAGTCAGTCACTGCGGTGAGCGGGGGCAATTTTGAAGCATACCATCCATCTCATTATTCATTATGATACCAGTCTCAGGAACCATGACTTTGGAGCCAAAAAGCAAATTGATGGTCGTGATCGCGGAAATGGCAAGCCCACTGTGATCAATGGCGGCAATATGTGAAGTACCCGGTCTACTTAGGTCAGTTGTCTGATAATACTATGGTACCATCAAAATTCACCCACGTTTCAAGACTCTCATATCCCTGCGGATTGTAGGCAGACACAGCCTGGGTATGCTGGTCGGATATATTCTTTCGAATCTCTTCAACAGTGGAATCCGCTAGCATCATTTCCTGATACGTGTCCATGCCATCAAGGAAGAAAGGATCTCCTAGATTAGTCCTCTATATCACAAATCAGCATTGCCTCCAATGTTTCAGCTGCCTACTAGTTCAGTAGAGCGGATAAGCATACCAATCCATATCCAAACCGTATAGCTTCGTCCAATCGATGAGTACTCAGGTTCAAGTTATCCGGACGGAAAAGGTCATCGTAAGTACCCAGAACTTTGAGAACGTTCAGAGCTACGATACCACTGGAAGGGGCTGGGGTGCTAGTAATCCGATAACCGCGATAGTCAATTTCTGAGATGTTACGGATAGCGACCGTATAATTGGCCAGGTCCTCAAGCGTCATTGTACCGTTAGCTTTCTGTACCGCATCTATCATAGTCTTCGCGATTGATCCAGAGTAGAAGGCATCGGGGCCCTCCTTTGCGATGGTCTCCAGTGTGGCTGCATAACGTTTTCGCGTAATGGTATCACCCACACCGAGCCTGGTTCCATTGGGAGCAAAGTCGAGCGCCCAGGTAGGGTCCTGAGACAGAAAGTCTTCGTCATCCCCGACAGCAGCGTTCATATAGCGGACCAAATCATGCCCCACTGACCACCCCTCCCGTGCGGTTTGGATGGCGGGCTGCACAACGGTTGACCAGGGGAGCGAGCCATACTTGCTGTGAAGATACCCGAGACCACGCAGTTCCCCAGGAACGGCACTTCGATTATATCAGTTATTGCAGCATCAAAGAGCCCAAGATTGCTCACCTTGCAAGGCCCCCGCTAACGGAAGCCTTCGTATTATTCTCAAACATATCCTGGAAAGCGGCCGCTGGGGCAGTTTCGCGGAAATCGATGGCCTCAAAGGTGCCTTCAGGGGTCTTGACCAGCATGAATCCACCTCCTCCGATTCCACTATGGTACATGCCTTCCAACAATCATCAGGTCCAAGCACTTCGCCAGTTATTGTAGGCCAACTCACCAACAGTTCCAACGCAGAGCATTGTTGCAACCATCTGAGACTGAAGTCAGCAGGGTGCCGCATGACGACAGATCGGCTGGATCGTTCTCACCGCGTCAGCTGCATTTCCTCCCATCTTTATAATATCTGTTCCATGTCGACTGCAAATAGCACTTTCGCTCGCCACTGCACCGCGCTTCCCATCCTCCAGTTTATTCGCTCGGTCAAGCCGGCTAGTCGCAAATTCAAGAGGCGAGGTGAGCACACCTGGCAGATGTATTGTTATTATGGTTAGGAGTAGCGTCGACAATATCGTGAATTTCGCAAGGCGAAACATAGTTGAGGCGCTGGGTCGCTTGTCATGTAACAAGGTCCACTGCGATCGCTCAGCCGGGGTCTCCCAGGTTTCGAGAAGTGGCTGTAGGAACAGAGCGGGTTAGAAACACAATTCAATAATCGCGCAGGGTTGCACGAAAGAGGGTCGACAGAGCGAATCGGTTTATATACCTGCTTCTCCGCATCTTGGCTCGAACTTTTCCTTGGCTGATAGGTCTCCATGTTGCAAAGAAATTCAAAGTCGGATTGGGGAGGGTCAAAGCGACAGGGTAGATACGTCCGCGAGACTTAGCAGGTGCGGAGGATCAGCATGGGAGAGCCCTTGTGAGCCTTTCCGCCAGAGTTAGAGGACGCCCTATTCGCAGATACACTACCCTAAGAAAATACAAGGGAGGGGGAAGAACCTGCCCCAGCGAACGCAGGGAAATAAGAAATAAGGAAAGCCTCACCCCAGCCATATCGGGGACAGCCCTGGCCGAGATAAGCAGCGAGGGATTGTGGATGCCCGCCTGCAATCAAGAGTCATGACTGGGACTCCGCACTCTTGGGTCGTGCTTATCGAGGGCGGTTCCGCCAACGGGAAGTCAGCCGCCACCCGCGGGCCCAAGTCACGCGATAACGCTGACCGGGTTCGGCCTGCCCAACGTAATGAGCCGAACCGTGATCTCCAATTGAAGTGCAGCCATCACGCCAAGCTCGTTGAGGTTCCCCGGATCGTCGAGTCATGGTATGTATCGCCCATAGACCAGACAGAAACCCTTACCTCACATCTTTGCTTTGACTTTTGACTACCTGATAGTGTCACATCATTGTCGCTATCTGCGCTCTCCCGTATATAGCAGAGTTCATCCGCAACAGGTTTTCGTCTGTCCCTGTCACCTTTAGAGCTCCACGGCCTCCTTTGTCCATGTAATGGTTTCGGTCCAAATGGGGGGGATGTCTTCCTCCAATTGCAGGACTGTTTCAATAAGACGCCGGCCCCAGTCGCGGACAAACCACTTGTCGGAGAGAAGGTGCAATCCTACCCCGTAGTGTAGAAATAGCACGCGGCCCACCCAGTCTCCACTTTTCAGCAGAGCAATGTAGTCTTCGCTGATGTTAATGGGCCACGCAATGATGCCACCGTTTGGACCGCCGAACGGCCATCGTTTGATGGCTTCATGGAGAATATCCCACGTATTTTGGTACGTAGTCTGATTCGGCCCACCAAGGCTGGTGAATTTGTCTTGCACCCGCTGCAGAGACTCCATGATGGCACTTGTAGTCATTAGCATTACTTGACTGAGTTCCCGCAGAGACTTCAGAGACATACCTGCGTAGTTTGATCTGAGATTCCTGTACACTAGAGATATATTAGCATCCTTTTGCCATCGAAAGATAGAGGGCAGGCAAGTACTGGTAGGGATTTCCATCTTGATCGACCTCGTCATCCTTATACTTCAGCCACCCCTGGAGATCGCCCCGATACTCCATGCCACTAAGCTGTTCGAAAAGAAACGCACAGCCCGCTATGAGCTGTCGAATCTCCAAAACATGGGATAGAGGCTCGAATGTGTGTTTGTCTTGGGTAACACACGGGTAGGCTGTTGCGCAGAGCATAATGAAGATGGAGCACAGGAAGGCTGGTGCGCAATTCTCGGGAGTCATTTCTGCGAGTACACGAGTGAATGCTGAACATGCTCGGTTCTGGTACTTGAGTGCGATTTCTAGCCATGAACGGTTATCGTGAGTGTTCAGGTACGCTAGATGAAGAGCAGACAATCCTAGTAGGCTGTCCAGCAAGAAGGCATGAGAGACCGCGATCCGTGGGACAACCACTTGGAAGTGGTGAGCATCTAGACGGCCTTGACAGAGTGTGATGTATGTCTCTGTTACATAGTGGTGGAATAGTTTCATCTCAAGCATCCTGTCTGATTGCGGTTCTCCTTCGGGACCAGGAAACACATCAGGCATATCCTGGGGCGTGGATGCATGCTGGCTGTCCGCTTCACTTGATGGAGGGTATGTGCAATCCAGTCTTCGTTTCTTGCACAGGCCACATCGTGGCGTCTCTTCGTCGCACTACGTGGGTCAGCATGAGGCCGATAGCACGAATGATACTGCTGGGAGGAATGGAACAGCATGTGCAGTGTAATTATACCGACGACTGCGATGGGGTATAAACTGCCGATCCGGGGAGCGGGAAGAGGTAGCGAACCCGTGAGAAGAGAAGGAGATAAGAAAGAGGAAATCAGACCTTCACATGCCGTTTCTTACATTGGAGACAACCCTTCCGGGACTTGGTATGACTGCGGCGGGAGGGCATTCGGAAGAGTGCCAGGCACGGAAGGGGAATGACGTAGTTCGTCAAGGACAAACTTATCTAGTCCCGGTTAAGGTAGAAGCTGCGCGACGATAGTACTGGTAGTCTTTAGTTGTAATGAATGGGTTAAGCAGTACTAGTAGTACGTGGGGTGAGAATAATCAGAATGACCACAGCACACAGTCCGATAGCAAGAGGATCAATGCAGCGGACAGACCAAGCCTAAATCACAGAAATATGATAGAAAATGGCAGTTGGAGATGGAACGATGGAAATAAGAGAAACAAGAGCTGCGGGTAACCCGAATCTCTATCCACCATCCATCGGGATCGGGACTCGCCGTTTGGGGAATGGAAGCTGGTGCCGGGCCTGTGGTCTTTGTGGCAGGTTCTGCCGGTGTCAGCTTATCTAACAAGGCTGCTGATTGGTGGTTACCTGCTGACTCAGCTATGTACCTGACATGGGCGGATCCTGTGGAACTTTAGTTGTACAAATTATGTTATTCTTAGGTGGACTGGTCCACAAGGACCATTCATTTGCAATGCGTTTGGTCTTCTTTGATCCGCGTGGATGCCTGTTTCACAATCGATTAAGAGTCCTGTTATTGAGCCTTCAGGTCAGCTCGAGAATCCTTCACTAGGCTCCTATACAGTCCGAGGCAGCAGCAATTTCATCGTCCCCACTCAGGACCCCGAATCGCTTCACGATGAGGAAGAAAGTCGTCCAGCCTTGACCGTCCTACACCGTATGGGGTATACTATCTGGCACTTATAGTCTTACTTGTATACTAGGATCGAAACTTGAACTTTCTTGTTCATACGTTCTGCGCACATCTCCAATGGGGTTCTCCAAACTACTCGAGTGTTATACTTCAGTTTGAACCGAGGCGGTACTACCTGCTACTCTACATCTTCACAGCATCTTTATGTGCGTGATATTCTTTCATCACTAGTCGCAAAGCATTTCTAGCAGGTATCTTCTTGGGTATATCCTCATGCTGAACATGTAGTGGGGCTCAGCTGTGCGGTCTCTCACTACGGGGACTAGCAGCCCATTCATCCAGTCAACGTCCGAAATGCCGCCAGATCCCTGTCAAAACCACGTGACGGCGGTTTATGGGGGCCATTGAGCATTGCAGAACACAAATCAGCCAGAAGGAAATCCAAGGTGCATGGTACCAGCGGTCCTCTATTTAGGACGTGACTGCTCAGATCTTCTAGCTCCTCGACAAAAATGAATGCGGATGACTCCTCCCCGCACCAGCGACAACGGTTTGGATCTACCAGGTCGCGCAAGGGCTGCATTACGTGTCGGTGAGCGAGAAACCCTCTGTCTACCTGCTCTTCTGGATCAGTCTGCTAACCCTTCATCTGGCGGCCACGGCAGGATCCGTCGCGTCAAATGTGATGAACGCAAGCCGGCTTGTCTTCGGTATGCAAACATTGGAATGACGCCTTTGCTGTGGAAACCCCACACTAACCTCCCGGATAGATGTACAAGTACGAACCGGAAATGTGATGGTTATATGCCCATGCCTTATTCGATACGCATCGCAAAGCAGTTGGCACAAGTAACTGCGTTTGTCAGTCCGGCTGAGTCCCGAGCCCTCGAGTTCTTCTTTCGCAAGTCTGCAGCGCATCTAGCTGGTTACTTTACTGCTTCGTTCTGGACCCGCACGGTTTTACAGCTCAGCCTGACCGAACCTACGATCCGCCAAGCTATTGCTGCGATTGGGTTTCTGTATGAAGCAGAGGGGATGTCTACAACTCCGGCAATGGCATACCGTTGGCAATCTTCCAAGCCCGACTTGGCACTACATCTCTATAACCGGGCCATTCGCACTACCATTGATAAGGTTTCATCAGGCATAGACGCGGTGCCTCTAGTAATAGCAGCCAGCATTTTGTTCGCGTCCCTCGAGTTTCTCCGAGGAAATGCTACTGGGGTTACATCGCATATCGCAAGCGGGCTGAATCTGGTGCGGTCCTGGCGGGCGCATCGAGAGCGATCCTGCTGCACCAAGAGTTCTCAGACACATTGGGTGGATGCTGAATTGGCCCCTATATTGAACTTCTTTTCTTTGAATACGTACGAAATGTCGGCACTCAAACACCTCGTCAGTGCGCCACAAGAAAAAGTACTTGTCAACCCCGTGGATGCTGAAGGCAAGCTCTTATTGAACTGGCGGTTCCGAACATTCCATCAGGCACGCATCGCCCTCCTCGACTTGATGCTTTACTACATCGGAAAATTCCCCAACCGACAAGAGTTGGCCAGACTGACGAACCTCCCGCACTCACCCGTGCAGCAATGGGCCGAAACCTTTGAGCATGCCACCCAGCGATGGGTGGCAAGCTTTGAATTGCTAGTGCAACGGAAGCAGTTGGAATGCGGGCCGGCCATACAAAATGAGATTGATGCTACTCGCATGTTATGGTATTGTTACCGTCTAGGACGTGATCGGTATCGTGTGGCAAATGAATCCGGCTGGGATGACTTCCGCGCTGTCTACGAGGATATTCTCTCAATTGCTGAACGTCTGCTTAGTGACTCAGACCACTACCCGGATGATGTCTCCAAAACGATAAATCTGGACGTACAGCTGTTGTATCCGTTGCAGGCCGTCGCCTGGAAGTGCCGCTGGCCGGACCTTCGCCGTCGGGCCCTGGATCTGCTACAACGGATACCGAAGCAAGAACTGATCTTTTATACCCCGAACTATCACGCCGTCTGCACACGGATCATGTCGCTTGAGGAGGGTACAATGTACAAAGAGATGCTTCCCCCAGATCACGCCCGCATCTACAGTTTCGTTATTAGCCCTACTCCGGCAACGGCGGCTGACCACCCCATTTACTCCATCACGTTTACCACTTTTCCACAGGGCCGAAGTAGCGAGCCACACTTTCACACAGAATCGCTCTGGCTTCAACCCTCGCAAGCGGGGGCCACGACAACCGTGCCACCTGTTGATATGATGAAACGCCGTGACTGGCCACCGGTCGCCCGAACGGATGCTCATCTGCAACATGGTTTAGTGTAGATAACACAGCCTGATGTTGTCCCGCAAGATTACTAGGCACATAAAATGAGTTTGGCTAGACAAGCACAGCATGTGTTCAACCTTCCACACTGGCCTTACATCGAACAAGTCGATACTAATAGTATTATCTCGTTATCTTCCTATCGAGTGATCGCGTTGCCCTCATTCCAACCGAATGGTATAATATACAGGTAGCAGTCCAAATTGAGCCAACCTGAAGCAAGGCACTAAGATAAATACCAACTGAAGGAAATGTTTCAATCGAAGTGCACTTTCCACAACCTTAATCCATGAGGGAGTGATCCTATTACTTACCATTAGCCTAAAGCCCACTTGTCGCTTACAGTTGCATACAGTTCATATTTCGACCATTGGCTGCTCCTGCATTTCCCGGGGCACACTTGATACTTTTTCATCTGGCATATAGGTGCCGGGTGGGTTTCCAGTGTTACGTCTTGGGTGTATTTAGTGATTCACATCCACTCCACTGACCCACCCCGAAGCAAGAAGATGGAGACTCATACTACACCTTTAAACAGCAAGACACAGTGCATATATACCAACTATAGGACTTCTTTAGATGTGATAAAAAAACAAATCACTGGCGACAAATATGCTAACTGGCCGAAGATTCGGATTTGTTCAAAACTGTCTAGCGCTCGCCATTGACCCACTTCAGCCCCGTCGAGCAAGAACTGCTGTAATACCCACAGTCATAGCTCGAGCTACTACATGCTAAGCATGTTTTTAGCTCCTGTATACGCGTCTTCAGGGCGCAGCACCAATCGGAACGCCGGGCCGACCAATACTAGCACTATTGGGCTTGGTCAATGTGCACCAAAATTTAGTCCAGAGGCGTTTGCTTCAACAGGCCGAGGGATTATATTTATTTGAAACATAAATACATATGCAAAGTTAGCGTGGTCAAAGTACCGAAAATAATGACAGAGCCATCTGATTTGTGCTCTTGTATTCTCCTTGCTCGATATGAGGATCAAAACGTTATGGAACGGACACGATCCAGCAAACAATGATGCTGAATCATCTGAGGAAGCCTGGAAATGGCCAGTCCGTGCCAAATATGCAACGCTCCTATCATCCCGAACTTCATCGTCTGCTGCACATCCCGACGAGGAGTGGATTCATGGTGTCCTCCTCGGTACATGGGCCGCCGGAGGCATCTCGGTTCTGAATATCCTGCTAGCGCTCATTGCCATTGGCATCAGCTATTCCCAAAGCGCCAACTCGCATGGTTTCCTTAGCACTGAACTGTACAATGGGAATTGCACTTTGTCCAGTAGATGGGCAACGGGCATCCATGTTGTCATCAACGTCTTGTCCACCACCCTCCTCGAGGCCAGTAACTACGCCATGCAATGCGTGTCGGGACCATCCCGCACAGATGTTGACAAAGCTCATAGAAAACGCCGTTGGCTGGATATTGGGGTGATGAGCTTTCGGAACTTTCGAGCCATGAGTATCAAGCGGAAACTTCTCTGGCTGGTTTTGCTTCTCAGCTCAGTCCCGATTCATATGATGTTAGTAATAGTGACTCCTACCCTGCCATCACTAACTTGCGTACCAGATATAACTCGGTGGTATTTTCATCCATCTCTGCGCTCGACTATGGCACAATGCTCGTCCCTGATGATCTAACGCCCACTGAGTCCTTGGTCGGCGCGGGCGGGAGGAGCGCCTTCGTGAAAGCCATCGGCAGCACGCCGGAGCTGATTCAGACTGAAATCTTCAACGGTACCTTTCAGAATTTGAGTAACGCCGAGTGCGTGAAGAAGTATGATGTGGAATACAACACGCATCTCGGAACCCTGATTTTAGTGGCTGAGCGACAGTACTTTGGCAATGCAAGCAGTCTCCAATGGAGCTACTCATCGGTATATGACTACGTCAAGAATGTGGGGGAGAGCAACGTCGAGAAGTTAGTTGATGAAGGGAAGTGGACAGCCGAAGGACTGGAATGGACTAAAAGAACAATTTCTGTTAATACCCCGGAAATCCCCATCTCCTACTGTATGGAAAAGACCATGACCCAGCGGTGTCGGCTTCTTTTCAGTCCATCGATTGCGCTGGCCGTGATTCTGTTCAACCTCACCAAGGTAGTCTGCATGTACTTGACTGCAAAAACGGACCGCTCTGAGATCTTCTTGCGAGTAGGAGATGCCATATCGTCCTTCCTCGCCCATCCAGATCCCACAACTAAGGGCCGCTGTCTAATGTCCCGGGCTGATATGGATCGAGGACCGCATCGATGGGAGCCATCGCCCCGATGGAAGCAGTTCATACAAAAGAGGATTCGCCGTGACCCAGAAAACCAAGCAGACATTCCCATGGAAAACCGTCGCATCTTGGAGCAGGCAAATTCTTCAGAAACCTCCCCGAGGATGCTACCACGTCGAAAACGATGGTTTCGGGCGGCCAGTTTGCGCCGCTGGGCGAGTATGGTATTCATGTCCGTGCCCCATGCCTCGCATATACTCACAAACTAACCCAAACGTATAGGTTCGCCGTCTGCTTCTTCATCTCCTACTTGATATACTTCGACCTAATCATCGAGGGAGACGGCTGGTCCCTCTCCGAGCAATGGAGCCTAGGATTCGGCTCCGCCAACTCCCAAACCAATATCCGCTTTTCAGGAAACAATATGATCGCCCTCGTCCTCCTAAGCAACACCCCCCAACTAGTCTTCTCCATCATCTACTTCACCACCAACAGTCTCCTCTCCTGCATGCTCGTCACAGCCGAATATAACGACTACGCCGTCGACCGCAAACCCCTCCGGGTCTCCTGGCCCCGCGGCCAACAACGCTCAACGTACTACCTCGCCCTGCCTTACCGCTACAGCATCCCGCTTTTCATCATGTCTGTTGCCCTGCACTGGCTGCTTTCTGAGAGCTTCTTCTACGTCAACATCACAGTGTATGATGTTTTCGGCCATGAGGATACGAATAGCTCTATCAAGGGTTGCGGCTTCTCTCCTATCGCCATATTTATCATTACTATCCTGGAGGGCGTGTCATTTTTCTCACTCTTGGCGTTGGGGATGAAGAAGTTTCGGTCCCGGATGCCGATTGCGGCGCATTGTAGTGCGGCGATCAGTGCTGCGTGTCATCCTCCTCAGGGTGATGATGATGCGGGGCTTAAGGCTGTCGCGTGGGGTGAGGTCGATTGCACGGATCAGTTTGTACAGGTGGATTTGGATACAGGTGTAGATACGAGGTCTATGGTTGAAGCTGGGGGTGGAAGTGTAGGTGGTCAGGGCGAAGGGTATGCTCATTGCACGTTCACTTCGTTTGATGTTACGATGCCGGTGAAGGGGAGGTTTTATAGTTGATATTACACCACTAGTCCTAAAAATGATGCTGTTGTTGACTACTATCCTCTTATGAATCTACTACACGTATATAAAATCCAGAAACTACTCTCTTGAACCACTATCCACACCACCAACAGAGTAATTACTCAACACTCCACAACATCACCATCACCATCTATACTCTCCAAGTCCCAACCTTATCCACCAACAACGCATCTTACAACTTCTACTACAACTACACCTCCATCCCACCCCCCCAACTCGGCGGCCCCTCACCCACCCCGGTCCCCCACACACTTTCCTCCTCATCCTCCCCATTCCCCTCTCCCAACTCGACCTCCAACACACCCCCTTTAACAAAAAACTCATGCCCAATCCAACACCTGCCATACACCTCCCCATCCAACCACGCCCTCTTCACCACCTTCCCCCCAACACCCACCCCAACATCCCCCCTAACCCTCACCACCGCGACACCCCCCGAAACCCCATTCTTCACCTTAACCTCCTGCACAAACGGCGCCGAAATCAAATACACATTCTGTCCCGGGTTCGGAAACAGACCCATGAGCCCGAACACCGTGAACGCCGCCATTGCCCCGGAGTCGTCGTTGCCGGGGATACCGGACCGGGAGGTATTGAATACGTCCGGGATGAGACGGTGGATGAGACGTGAGGAGAGGGCCGGACGGGAGGCGTAGTGGTATTGGTAGACGGTTAGGAAGACGGGTTCGTTGCTGTAGTCTGCTAGTGGGGTGGAGTGGAATGTGGATAGACGGGATGTGAAGGATGTAGGGCCGGAGAGGTAGCTGGTTATTAGGGTGGGGAGGTCGTGGGGGACGTAGCTATCCATTTCAATATTTATATCGTTAGTTGGGGGTTGTGTTGGGGATTAATAAAGCGGAGGGATAGGGTAAGGGGGGTATGGGGTATGGGGTATGGGGTATGGATACAATTGATATTCCCAAATACTCGACTCAAACGTCTCGGACGGATTACTCGTCAACGAGCACCACGTCGGCCCCGTAGCAAGGGGACTACAATCCATCGGGTCCTGATGTGCCCATGTTCCATTGCGGTACTTGGGTTGGAAGAAACCCACGAACCCCGTATCGGTGCCATTCGGGAAGAACGAGCGTTGATCAGGTTTGAACAGGTTCTTCCAGTTAGTCGATCTCGCAAGATACTTCAAGTAGTCGTCTGTCTTGTTCAGCCCGTGGGCGACAGTCGCGACGCAAAAATCGTTGTATGCGTATTCCAATGTCCGGGAGATACTGCGCGAGTTGGTACCGAAACCCAGGTAGTCGAAGTCGTGGTAGGGGATGTAATTGAGGGACTTCCAGCTCTGTAGACCCCCTCGGCCTTGGTAGGACCATTCTAGGGGCTCGTTCTCGGCGTCGTTGACCATTGCTTCGTAGGCGAGGTCCCAGTCGATATCTGTGAGGTTCTTGACGAAGGCGTCGGCGAGGACGACGTCTGCGTTGGAGCCGCCTTGTGTCCAGCCCTTGCAGAGACTCATGCGGCAGTCTGGGAGCCAGCCTTCGTGGCGGTAGGTGTCGAGGAGACTGCGGATGATGCGGGATTGAGTGTTCGGGTCGATGATGGTGAGGAGAGGGTGTTGGGCGCGGAAGGCGTCCCAGATGCTGGGGATGTCAGTATACCAACCACAGTTGCAGCGATGTGATGATGAGAACATACCAATAGAAGGAATCAAAGTACGGCTCATCGCTCTCCCAGAGGGGATTCTCCCCGGTCAGATCCTGCGGATCCAGCATGGTTCTATAAATGCCGGTCCAGAACATAGTCTGCAGGGCAATACTGGCACTCGTATTCCCAGGCGTCATCTCAAGAGGACTCAACTTCTCCCTCCACGCATCCTCCGCAGCTGCCCGTATCGCATCAAAGTCCTCCAACGGACTCGGAATCTCCACTCTTGCATTCTCACACGCCTTCTCCGTACTAACATAACTCACCCCAACCCTAACACTCACCGTCCCATTATCAGGCCTCTCAAACCTCACGAACCCACCCGCCTGCAGATAAAAATTATTAAACCCCCTAGTGACAAACAACTCCTTCCTCTCCACACCCCCAGCATCATTCACCCAAACCCCTGTATCCTTGACCTCGGCCCCCGCGAAATCCACACACACATACGAAGCATACTCCCCAGCCCCAAAACTGGGCAAAAACGTGCCATTAGCCCTAATCCCACCGGTCCTCTCATCCACACTAACCGACGCATTCTGCCTACTCTCCCACAAGTCCGTCAAATCCAACAACACCATCGGACTCAACTTCTGCTCCGCTGTATCCGGAAAATTAAACCGAAACAGCGCCGTATGCTGCGTGGTAGTCATCTCCGCACTAATACCATTCGTCATGGTTAGGGCAAAGTACCCAGGCCTTGCCACGACCGAGTCATTCTGGTAATGTACGGCGCGGGTGGACTTGGGAAAAGGACAGTTGTCGAGGACATCGTCGATGCAGTATTGAGGGAATAAGGGGAAGTTGCCTAGAGAAGGGTTCCCGCCGGTGCCGGAGTCGTGGAGGGCAGAGAAGCCTGTGATGTTGCTGTTGTCCGGGGAGAAGCCTGCGGTGTTTTGGCCGTCCACGTCCGCGACGGCTTTCGCCATGCCGTAGGGAAGGGTTGCGCCGGCGAAGACATTGCCGCCGTTGGTGGTGCCGATGAGGGGGTTGATGTGGGTGAGGATGTCGGTGGTGTTGGTGTTGGTGTTGGTGCTGTGGGTGAGTGGGAGGAGAGGAAGGATGTGGAGGAGGTAGGGCTGGAGGGGGCGCATAGTGTGGGGTGATGGTGTTGATGGGAGTGTTGGAACTTCCCTAGGGGATGTGTGACACCAGATACGGGGAATAGAGGAGACATCATTGTTGTGGAGGGGGAGATCGACAGACAGCAATGCAGGGAGGGAGAGTCCCTTCAAGCGGGGTTATGCAGGGATGGCAGGGATAGATGCATACAGAGGATCAGTAGATTAAACTTTGAGTAATAATACAGGGATATTAAAGTAGAACAATAAGATTGTAAGAAAGTAACAACACACCCAACATCAACTCCCTCTCCCACAGGTACAATCCAACTAAATCATCGTACCCTTGTTCTGCTTCTTATCAGTCCGGTAATTCTTCCAAACCGCAATCGCCGGGAATCCCAACGCCAAAATCGCCGTGCCAGCAACAGACCCATACATCTGACTTCTTCCCCACGCATAATCCACCGCAGTCCGGGTGGGCGATCCCACCGGATAGGTCATCTGCGTCGTATACCCACCCAGATAAATGTCCGTCGCATTCGACTTCAAATCCGCAGGAAGACGACTCTCCAACGCCTGCGGGAAGATATTGGTATACACCGCCGCAGCAACAGCATACCCAATAGCGCCGCCCAGACTGGAAAACAGCCCTAACAGCGACAGCATCATAGGCACACCCTCGCGATCCGCAGCAGCCATCACCGCCATATCATCACCAATGACGATCGTACCGCCGCCAAAGGCAATGAAGATCTGCGACATGATCACGTAGTTGATATCGTTTCCGCCTTCGCCGCGGAAATGGATCATCAGTCCGGCACCCAGACAGAGCAGCGGCAGTCCGAAGAACAGACAAGTGTACTTGAAGTGTTTAGTGTAGCGGATCCAGAGACCAAAGACGACGCCCCAGAAACAAGATCCGACGTTGTAGATCTGCGTCATGTAGCCGGTCATCGACACGCTGAGGTTGAACACCACGATGCAAAAGTCGTAGAAGTACAGGTCCCAGCAGTAGAAGCTGAAATACGACACCGCGGACATGATACACGCGCCTAGCACAGTGCGCTGTCGCAGCAACTCATACCGCACGAAGTGCTTCCGCGTGAACCATTTTTCCCACACGGCGAACGCAACCAGCAGCCAGAAGCCGACGATGATCATGGCGATGAACTTGGCGCTCTTGTATTGCGCGCGTCCGTACTGTTGCAGACTGAAGGGGAGGAGGAGCAGGACCCATGCGGCCATGAGCAGAAAGGCGCCGATCACTGGCTCGTTAGTATAAGAGTAAAGTGGAGGGGAAATAGGGCATGACATACAGTCAAACTCATGAATGTAGTGAACAATAGACTGCATTGTCGTCCTTCCACTGTCCTCCTTCTTCAATAGCCCCATACTCTCCGCCTTGCGCTGATAATACTTCAATACCACCACCAACGGCGCAAACACCACCGGCATAACGATAGCGAACACGCCATACGCCCAGCGCCACGTCGCCACCTTGAGGAACGACTCACCCGCCAGAGGGCCCGTAAACGCGGTGCAGATGAACGGGGTGCTAGCAAACGCGAAGGTAAACGCCCGGTTCTGCAATCCGGACGTATCGGCGATATAGACATCCAGCACGAGGTAGATACCCGAGTAGCCCACGTAGAAGAGCACATAGCCCGCGGCATAAGAATCCGGACCATCACACGCAGCCAGCACAATCAATCCAATGGTGTAGATGACCACCCACACGATTAAACCCTCGGCACGGCCCCAGATGTTCAACGTCTTCGCGATCGGCAGCTTCAGCACACCGCCGATGATGCTGTAGAGGATACTGGCTGTGCTGACTTGGGGGGCGGCTTTGAAGTCGGCGTAGGCGCGGTTGATGACGGTGCCGCTGATGGAGTTGTTGAGGGCGAGGAGGAAGAAGCATACCCAGATCCTATACCAGTTAGATGGATCGTATGGTACATTGGAAGAAGGGTAGATACCAAGCATAAGTAGCATAGACAGCTTTCTTACTCCAGACTAGGGCCGCGGCTTCAGCTTTCTGCACACCCAGCTGGGCATCCTTCGTGACTTGGTCCGGGTGAGCCTCGATTTCTTTTTCGTTTTGCGCTTCCAGACTCAGTCGTGACTGGTCTGAGCTGTAGAAGACGCCGTCGCCATGGCCAGAGACGACTTCCTTGGTCTGAGACTCGGCGGACACAGAGACCTCATGATTGATTTCGGTGGTCGTCTTTTCCTCCTTAAAGAAGCGCATGGTTAAGACGAAGAGAAGTGAAGCCTTATGCTTCTTAGAGTCGTATATGACCCCTAGTAACCCCAATCGCCAAGCAACCTAAAAAGAAAGAAAGAAAGGGAAGGAATGGAAGGGATGGAGATCAAATCCAGGGATGAGCAGGAATCATCAGACACAGTCAGACAGACGTATTTGTATCTACCCAACAAGCCAACCAAAAGGATAATAATTAATCACTACCCGCACGAGACGCGCTGCAAAACAGAAAAAGATGGAACTAAGTTAAGAAATGAACGAACGGCGGGGGGAGGGGGGGGGAGCCGATCACTTAAACCCCTAGCTAGACTCTAGTCTAGAGAGTCAGAGTCAGTGTCAGTAGCAAATGCCAAAGAAAAGAAAAGAAATAAAAATATCCCACTGGCCCCGATCTGATAACCCACGACGGATCAGATAAACTGCCCCATCGACACCAATCAAGGGCTGCGAGTGACAAGTGCGACTCGGTTCGTGAAAAAGTTTACTGGGTTTGTTGATGGCTTTGATTTGTTCGGCGATCGCCAGTCCGGATGGTTGTCTCACTCGGTGACTCTTGGTGTGTGTATTCCCGGATTATGACTTCCTTGGTGTGATGAAGATGAATATCTTACCTCTAGATTGATAAATGAGGATTGATTGATTGATACATTCCAATATCAATCTGATAACATCCTACAAGGAAACCACACTTCCCTCCAAGTGTATAAGTCAACCGTGAATGTGACCAACACCAACCCAACACCCGATCGTCATCAACGGGAACTCCGGGTGGAGTACAGAGTAACAAGACAGCAAACAGAATCTCAGCTGGGGCACAGAAATGCAAATCAGACCCAGTCCAATCCAATCCAATCAATCGATCCATCCATCGGCGTGCCCGGCTCATCACCCCTTCGTCGTATCATATGGAGATCATCCCACGTTGTGCGTACACACGACCACGAAAATCCTCCGCTCCTTTTCTCATTGCATATTTCCTTCCGATGGGAACACAAATCCTTAAAAATAATCCAGATGATTGTTGCACTCACTGCAACAACAACAAGGGTACTTATGTACTCCGTACAAAGTAACAGTAGTAGAATCTGCACCAGCCACCAGGGTCCAGTCCAAACCCCAAAGATTCATTCTAACTTCCAAGGGTCCTTTCCCTTCCCACCCACCCGGCGCAAAGCCAGCAAATCGACTGGACGTACAGTCCAAGTGTGGGCCCACACGATCACTCCAGTAAATTAAATCTCTCACCGAAACAGACATGGGGCGGACGCTAAACAAGACACACGCAGCACATCGTATCGTATCTAGACTAACCACTAGCACTACTACTGTAGACTAAATCTCAAGGAGAATACGATCAACGCAATCGTGCCTGACGGACAAAGCTGAAACGAATGATCAGCATAGCACGTATCTCTAGTGTGTTTTCAGTTTTGCACGTCCAGTCACAATTGATCTAATCTTATCATTTATCATATCTGATGATTCTGATTCGATTTTGGAGGGGGGGGATTGTCTTCCGATCACGAGGATGTTCATAGTCTGTACTCCGCACATGCACATGGGGTTTGATTACGAGGTGCGGCGGTGGGAAGCTTGATTTGTTTGTTGGTTAGTAATGGAATAGGTTATGGAAGAAGTAAGCATTGAATGGGTTGGTTTTATTGGTATGGCCATATGTATAGCGGCTGGCTAGCTGGCTGGCTGGTTCATGATGATCTTGGTCGGTGTGAGTGTTAGTCAATGGGGATGAATCTATTTCTAAAGCTGGGTGTGGTGGGCAATGGGGGTAAATCTATTTCTAATTTTTATGTCTCTACTTCATTCTTTACCAAATAGATGATTGGTATGGTATGCTAAAAGGGTATAAGATTTTTCTGCATCTTTTCTATTTGCTATTGCTTTTATCAATTACAACATCCTTTTTGATTTTTGCGTAGCTTGAAACTACCCAGCCGCCATATATGCACGCTAAACTTTGCAACAATGGCATTCATCATGAAAATGAAAGCACAACATTAACATTCCCACACTAAACTCATAACCTGGTTTAGCCTGAGCGCTCATCTCATACAGACCTAAGCATCACCCCCACCAGCAGTCGAGCCCTCCTTCTCTCTCTCTACCGACGACCCCTGACTTCTCGACCCCTTCACTCCCGACCGAAGCACCAACTTCTCCTTCTTAGGCTGTGCCGCATCGCCAACATCCCGATCCAGCGCAGCATACATAGTAGAACTAGACCACGGCGCCACAGCAGCCGGAGTAGCCGTTCCCGACGTAGACACAGAAGAAGGTGCAGAAGTCCGTCCTGCACCAAGAGCCAGATTGCTTCTCTTCGAAGCAGCCACCTGTGCCCAGCCGCCCTCACCGGATCCATTGGTATGTGCGCGTGCCGCTTCACGTTGGGCTTTGGCCTCCGCCGCGGCGAGACGCTGCGCTTCTTGTTCCTTCAGGCGCTGGCGATCACGCAGCCTGACGCAGTCGCCCACGCTCATGCCGCCGATACCAATGGCCGTGCCGTTGCCGGTGCCGAACACGGGCGGGGTCCAGAGAGTGGATTTCAATACGAAGACGTGGCGGTGGGGTTCCGGGTCGAAGCTTTCGCTAGCGAAGCCCCAGTCTGCTGCGAGGGAGTGGGTGAAGGCGCGGAGGGAGGATTTGGCGGGTTGAAACCGCGTGGATCGCTCGGTTGGTGTGGTAGCTAGGGTGTGGAGGGTGGATTCAATGGTCTGTAGGGTGGAGAGGGGATGGGAGGAGGAAAGTTGGATGTAGATGTCGAGGGTTTCAGCGGAGTAGGGGAGGTTGGTGGAGGTGAGGGATTGCGAGACGGTGGTTGTCGGATTGATGTCTACTCCTAACGCGGAGGCGAGAGACCGGTTTCGTTCGAGGCGAGCGCATTCATCGTCGCATGATAGCGGTGTCACGGCTGGCCCGCGCTGCGCTTGCTGGAGCTGGCCCTTGGAAACCACAGCCTTGGCTGCGTTGCAGCGACGCTCCTGGCGGAGTCGTCCACAGTCACATGTTACCGTGATCATGGACTTGCAGGGCGTCTTCTCCGGGCATGGATAGGGTGCATGGCATGGGTCGGTGCAGGGGTGGCCACACATTGTCTTTGTCTTGCCGCATGCCTGCTGGCAGGGCTTCGTAGCATCCTCGCACTCGCCAGGCCGGTGACAGTGTTTCTGGCAGGTATGGGAGCCGCATTTGAGCAGCTGGCCGCAGACCTGGCCACAGCGGGCGTCTGTAAGCCAGCAGGGCTGATTCTTCAGAACTTTCTTGCCGCAGAGGCAGGTCTTCTCTGTCAGGTATGGACACTTGGGGCAACTTTCGTCGTCGGTATGGCAGTTATGGGACGTCTGAGGATGGCCACACGGCTTGGGACGCTCGCAAGGAAACGAGCATGCCGGGGGCTGTGTCCCGCAGGGCAGAGGCGGATGCAAGATAGATCGACCGCAGTTACACGGAATCTCCTCGAAGATAGCCTCTCTGCAGGTGTTGCAGGGCCCCTTGTGACAGATCTCCGGGCATGTGTGCCGTCCGCATTTCAGCATACGGCCACAGACCCGGGTACAGATATGCTCAGCCTCAAAGTCCTCGTCACTAGGCCGCAGATGAGATTTGAGCTTCCGGCGGATAGCCTGACGCTCGATGGCCTTTTGCTCGCCGGGACAGCATCGCTCAGTGCAGGCATGACGGCCACAGTGCAAGCCAGCTTTGCAGATGCGGAAACACTGCGGCGGTTCCATCTTGCCCTGAGGACACATTGTTGTGAATGTGTTGCGTCCACAACGGCACTCGATGGGCACGTTCTGGAAGCAGGGCCCACAAGACCCGGTATGGCAGACCTTGGTGCATGGATGTCCACAGGCCAGCGGCTTTCCACAAGGCTTGGTGCAATTCGGGATCGGATCCTCGCAAGACGTCCGAGGCGAATAGCCAGCAATCTGGTCCAGAGGTGTCTTTCCGCAAGGACAGTCAAAGACCACATCCGGAGACCGCGGACAGTGAGCCGGATGTGCATCCTGCGCATGGCAGCTCTTCTGACAGAAATGGACGCCACAGTCAAAGGGGCGACTGCACTCATCTCCACAACTAAAGCAGCCAGTCCACTCCTCGATGTCGTCCTCCCGCATCAATTCACTATCCAACTCTTCATCCTTCGAGCTGCACAGCATCTCGGTCTGCACCTTTCCACAGTAACACCGTGCTTCGATCCTCTCTTCACAAGAGCCACACAAGCCTTCATGACACGGCCGGGGACACGTATGCTCACCACATGGTAGCAAATCACCACAGATCTCGCCACAGCTCCAACCATTCTCATAATCCGTATCCTGGCAACGCTTCGTTGACGAATTCCTTCCACAAAAGCAATCCTGCGTCGGCCCCATAGCCGTACAAGGCGCACAAGGCCCAGCATGACAAGTCGCATCACACGGATGGGGACAGCCCTTGCGCGTCCTCGCGCAAGTCTGTCCACACGAATGCGGCGGCAGGCCAGGAAACGAGCGCGGGTCTACCTCCTTCTCACACCAGCAAGTATAAGTCGACGGAAACACTTCCTGAGGCAGGTTGCAACCAGGACAGCGCCACGCGCGAGGCGCACTACTCTCCCCATTCTCCCCGTCCTGTCGCTGAGCAGCCGCCGCCCCCTCATTCCTCGACCACTTCTTCACGCAGCTCAAATGGAAGACCGTCCAGCAGAGCCCGCAAGACCAAACACGCGATCTCTTTCCCAGCTCGCTGGTACAAATCGGACATTCGTACAGATTGTGCGCAATATCCTCGTGGATACGAGTGGCGATATCGGAGGCCGTTGATTTTGTCGTAACTTTCGCCGGAGGCGGCGGTGGCTGAGACCGAGGCTGTTTCTGAACATTACCACCGCTATTGCTGCCGTTGTTTTTCGCCTTCGACTTCCCCTTTCCTCTCCCAGAACCAGATGCAGACGCTGCACCATTGGGAACTTCTTCCCTTGGCTGCTGCGGTCCAGCTCCAGGCACAAACACAGGCGCATCGGCCCTCAACCCAGCCTCATCCACTCCATCACCGCCCGGTATGGCTTGACCATCCTGCTCCTGCTCCGGCCTCGTCAATCTTCCTCCAAAGGTCCGTCCAGCGGGAAGTGTAGCCTGATCGCCACCGCGTGGCCGACGACTCGCGCCTGCCCCTCTTCCTCCCCTCTTGTTGCCTCCCCTCGGTCCTCGCGGCGGACGAGGTGCATCTCCGTTCGGTGTAGTCTCCGTAGGCGGCTGGCGTTGAGTGTGAGGCTGTGCGTCTGGTGCTGCCTGAGTCTGCGTTTGCGTCTGAGCCTGAGCTGGGTTCGCTGTCTGTCGACCGCGGCCACCACGGCCTCGACCGCGTCTCGGGCGCGGGGTACTGGAATTAGGATTGGAGGCTCCAACAGCCGCGGGAGCTGGAGCTGGAGCTGCAGAAGTAGCGGACATGGTCTGCGTCTCCAGGGTCCTTGAGAGTGGGTGGGAGGTTTGCGGTGGCGGTGGTGGGAGGACAATCATGCACCAACGCTAATGGGCGATAACCGCCGATCCAGATATTAAGTGAATAGTGGAGAAAAAAAGATAAATAGAATAACGAGGGAATACAACAACTTTTCTTCGACGGTAAACAGACCACCCAGGCAAACAAAGGAAATGAAAGTAAAAAGAAGAAATGCCTTTCAGGCTGAAAAAGCAGGTTATTGTAAGCGAAGAGAAAGCGATCGAAGGGATGGAATTTGATGGTGGTTCGGATGGTTCCTGAGCTCGGAGGTGGTTCGGGTGGCGACAGATGAAGATTTGATGGAGAGTGGCAGCTTTCAACGGGTCATGTCCCACCCAATGATGGCTTGTGGGTTAACACTGCTAATAAACTACGGTGCATTCATTGCGGGATTCTAGGGGATTAACCTAATAGGGTTGTACCAGGGCTTATCGGCCAGTGACTCATGCTGGAAGAGGTGCTGCGCCTTCGAGTCATCCTGTATCGCATATTACTCATAGTGGGACCGCATACTCTACAGATTCTAGATCCGAGGAATAGATTGCAGGGGGAATAACCACTGATTGCCAGCGAGACCATTAGCTGCAATCAATAAAAGCCAATATACATATCGAAATGAATCTTCAAAAAGCCATCCACACATCACAATCGCTATGCACAACAATATAGTGCAGTAAAAGATATCAGAAAGAAGAAAAGAAAACATTTGCATCCATGCCATGCTCGTATTATCCATCAAAATCAGAAGAAAAGCACCACTTCACCCCGTTCATTCTGCTTCACCCGCAGAGTCCGCCACAGCTCCTTCTCGTCGTCGGCTCTGCGCTCCCGATCCGCACGGCTGCGGCCTTGATCGCGTCCACGGTCGCTGTCGTCAAACTCGTCTGTGAAATCGCGGTGGAATCGCTTCAGAACCTTGTTCACAGAGAAGCCACGCGTGCTTTCGGGGCCCTTGGTCACCAATGAGAGGAAGTGAGTAGCCATCTGGCGCTGCAAGCCATCAGGGACGCCGCTCTGCTGGTACACCACCACTTCACGGCCGTCATCGTCGTGGCGAGAGTCGGTGTGCTCGATCTGCTTTTGACGGCGCGAAGGCCGATCACCGTCCGTCTGAGCGCTGCTCTTCCGCTTGCTCTTGCTAACATCAGACTCGGCCTGGCCGTTCGAGGCGTTGCGGACCTTGGGCAACTTCTTGGAACGACCCTCGTCCGGAGACCCGCGTCGACTGGCCCGGGCAGCCTTGCCGGTTTCGCGGCTGTTCACGCTACTTCCTGAGACCGACGATCCGCCAAACATCGATGACACAAGACGCTCAGCGCGATTTTTCATCGAAATTCCAAGACCATCGCCATTGGCGTCCTTGTTGTCCCGGCGAGAACGCTTGATGGGTGACGAAGGGTCCTGGTAACGCCGACGAGGGTGATCTTCTCCGTCCTGAGACGGCGAGCGGAGCATCCGATCCAGACCACCAGTCAGACCAGAGTGCTTCAGCATGGGTGTGCCCGGATTGTTCAGAACGCTGGATGGCGCATCCAACATTGGGGTGTCGGCTTCTTCCATGTCGTGATCGTCGGTGCGGCGCTTGCGCTTCTTCTCACTAGTCGTGCCGCTGACCTTGTCCTCGCCGCGCAAACGATCCTTCTTCTTCTTCGGTGCCGGAGTCATGAACTCCATAGAGGCGTTCGGGGCTTTGCCGTCATATACCGACTGGTTGATGGGTCCAGCACCATAGGAGTAACCATTCTCCTCATATGCGACGTCGTAGTTCTTGTTCTCTTCCTCCGCATCGGTGTCGGCGCGAGTCAGAGATTTGCTGGGCTCGAAGACAGAGGGAGCATTGGCGACCATCTTCATCTGCTCCTTAGAGCCGCCCAGAGAGACCTTGGACGCGTTGGGGGTCTTTTCTGCCACCAAGTAGTCAAAGACATTAACTTGCTTGTCTCCGTTCGTAGAAGCCCCCTGGGACTTGTCGTTTCCAGTCACCGGGGGAGTAGGAGCCGCAGGCGGGTTATCGGTGTCGTTCGCATCTTCGACATACGGGGCGCGGTGACCATGAGCGTTGTTTTGCCTCTGATTCTGCTTGCCATTGTTCTGTTGCGCCTTGCGTTGGTTCTTCGTAGGCTTCTCCCGGTAGAGCGCGCCCTGGTACTTTTGCGCCTCGGTCATACACGACTAAGAAGACAAGTCAGTCACCCATTCCTGTTCACAAAGTGTGTCTGCACTGTTCCAACAAGAGCCCGAGCCCTCAGATCCACCAATCAGACAAGCAGTTATAGCAGAGAGTTCCGACCCGTTGGACGAAGCGCAAAGTATATAGTTCGCGGCAAAAGCACAAGCGGAGGGGTAGAAGAGCCATACCGTATGCGACCGATAGTCAGTTCCGTAAAAGTGCACCATACAGTCGATGCAGGTGAAGGTGGCGCCACGACATTGGTTGCGATGGGGATCAAGCTTCTTCTTGGTGAGGATATCACCGCAAGCCTAGAGATCAAGAGGCAGCGAGTTAGCACGATTTCCAGCAGAGTTCCGCGCAGGACGCAGCTCGTGACAAACGAGAGATAAGGACAACTCACCTCGCAGGAGAAGGAAACCATATTGATTGACCCGGCGATGTGGTGCGCGTACTATCCAAGTGTCTGCACGAGTCGGGACTTTCCCAGTGATATATTGAGAACTCAAAGTCGCAAGGCAAGAAAAAGAAGAAAAGACGGCGATTGAGAAGGGCGCTAGTTTGTCGGGACCCGCTCTGAACCTGTCGGGGAATAAGCCGACCAAGCGATGGAGTATTCTCTGGGACGAATGGATCCCTGCGCGACGACGAACTCCAATCCAATCCAATCCAACTTCAAACAAACGGGTGTGGAAGTGGTAGTGGTGTAGTGGTGGTGATTGTTATTGTTGTTGACGGCGCAAAACAAATACGAGGGATGGTCGGACAAGCCGAGCAGAATAAGCAAAGCAGGTCAGATAAATAAATGCGGACTGGATCCCAAGCACTCGGCGCCTTCAAGAAAAAGCTTCCCTGCTCTCGCCTCTGCGTCTTGCTGCTGTGCTTTTGCTTCTTGTTCCCTGGCCAAAAAAAGAAAAGGGCAAAAAAGGGCCAAAAAGTAAAAAGTCCAGAATTAACTCTGGGTGGCGCTTATCTGCTTTGGGATTGTTCCAAACCTTGTGCCAGGCATTTGGTACCTGACGAATCAGGCCATGGCCCTCCAACCCCGCAATCAAATTCAAGAAGACAAGATAATTAGATAGAATTTATGCGCCTCCTTCTTACCGCTGAGAATACGACCTGCTCAAAGAACAGCTCCACTGAAAACATCGAATACAGCATATCTTCTCTCCATACTCATCTTCCACCATGACCTTCAGGGATCAGATTGACCTGCGCTCCCAGACCTGAAACGCGCCCTTCGGTCGACGACGCCCAGGATCCCCATGCGAACGCAGACATGATGACCTGTGGATCAGGTAGACCACGGGTGTAGCGCTTGCACATCCGGACATCAGCACGGACTCATCAGGAGACCTGACGCCGTGCAGCAAGATGGGCGGATCAACCAGTCACCAGCCAGCTTCACCCGCCTTCACCGGGTCGATTAGTGTAGCGCTGGGTGTGAAAGCAAGACGATCCTACAGATGATGCGGGAGAATTCCGATACGAGTCCGTCGCCAGCTAACTAGGCACAATGATACCTCCCTGTTCCATAGGCTTGAGGTGGGTGAGATCGTCAGTCTACAGTTATTTAGACTTTCGGTGCGATTCGTTGACAGCCAGGCTCGGTTCAGCAATGCCGCTGGCGCTGGCTTAACGACATCTATTTCTATTTTTGTGGCCCGGGCCGCGTGCGAATCGGGCATCCTCATGGCGGAATGTTTCATCTATTCGAAGTCAGGTTTCAGCCTTGTCGCTGACGCTTCCAGCGTTGTATCGGCAATACTAGTTGACTATATCGCAAACTGGGTAGTTGTCCATAGAGCTTTGCTGTAGCGAAGCGAGGCAATACACCGTGCCTTGTTGTGTTCAGCAACAGGCTACGTTAGTCTTGGTCAGCCGCGCCAGTCAGATGCATCTCTGCAGTCATGCGCGCGATGCCGCATACTTTCGTAACCTTACCAGCCGCCCGGCCATCGCTTGCTCGCATCTGCTGAGAACCTGCTGGAAGCTTCGTTTACAGCTGTGTGACTGCAGAATTCCTGTTGCCCTCTCACAATTGCTGTATGAGAAGCGAAGCCCTTTCCGGGAAGTCCGGGTGCCTACAGGGCAGATGAAATTCACATGCAAAGTACAAAGTTTGGACGATAATGCGGAATTTGAATGAGTGTGGCTGTAGAAATCATACGCTAATGTACTGCTCCTGGCCCCATGCACCCAGCGATCCTGCGCTGGTGGAGCATGCAAGAACAAGTACTGGGTATAAACGCAACCAGGTGCACGGATTAGATACCAAGTTCTGCGGTTCTGTTCAACCCCGCGTAGTCCTAGATCGTCTGATCAGTATCTTCGCTCCCGTGTCAATCAAAGGACGTAACTAACGGCTCCCTGGATATCTCAACGGGCGAAACGGCATCGTCGCTATCAACCTCGTCTCGAGCAGCGCTCTGACTCTTCTTATCTTTCAAAGCTTCATCACCCTCGCCCTCCTCATCCTCGGCGCAGCCGCAGTCGTAAAAGTCCCCAATATTATTGCAGTCGAAGATCGGCTTTTCGAGCATGGTATTCACTTCGTTGTGGATGAAGCAGCCCCATCCTGCAGCCGCGTTGCGCGAAGAAACTTGCGGCGGGTACATTTTCAGATGACCCTGGAAGTGAGAAGCGCACTCACCACTGATGAATAGTCAGCAACCACACTCAGCGCAGAGAGAAAGCAGTGTGGGTAGGTACCATGGATAGAGTCGCGCAAAAAGGTAGATGAAGGAGCGAAGGGTTTCCTGCTGCTCCTCCGTCGGGTCCTCGGGGTATCGAGCTAGCATGGTGTGGAAGTACTTCCATGTCGCACGACCCAATTCGGCTCTGCCATTGGTGGTGAATGATCAGTAAATGTCAAGAATGCGAAATAGCATTTGGCTTTAGCCTACTTCGCGGTTGCATTCCCCAGCCGGGGCATTACAACCTCGCCCTTGGTGAGGTCATCTTTGGAGACCACGGCCTGCGTAGACTTCTCCAGGTGACCAGGGGCACGGATCGCGGGACTCGGCGGTCCTTCAGGTCGGATAAAGAAAACAAAGAGCAGGAAGACGGCAATCGCGGTACTGATGAGTATGCGTCGAGTAATCTGACGGTTCGCCATGGTGGGTACGAAAGTGGTGGGTTTCGAGGATATCGCAAATCAATGCCGTCAATGGCGGGCCAGATCGCCAAGTGGCCCGTCTAGGGTATGCTTGGTACGGGGGTAGAGGACTCGTGTCCTGTTTAATAAGAGAAGGAACGACAGGCGAAAGAACGTGGAACAAAAGAAATAGATACAGCGAAACAATGGCAGCGAGTATGTAGAATGAGGGAATTAGGAGCTGGAAGTTGCCAGCAACGAACGGGTGGGATGACTATTGAACTTTGCATGATGGCATGAGCCATTAATTGATGGCTTGACTTGGACGTTTCCGCTCGCCGATTATCCACGTGGGGCCGTGCCTTGTGCAGCGCCACTATGTTGCTGAGTCATTATGTTCTTGCGCAGTGCATGGCATGCCTACTGCTACGAAGCTATAACTTAGCACACAGTATGATCGACCCTAGAGTCGCAGAATATTTGTTTTACACAATTGATCCATTGGACTAGATAAAATCTTCATTAGATAGACGATCTTGGCTGCTAGGTCTTTCCTAAGTCTAGTGTGAACGCGTAGATTCAACTCATAAATCCATGAGTGCATTCAGCCAATGCAGCCAGATGAGACAAGCCAAACACCGCCTGGGTTTGGAAGCAGTGCGAAAGTAATGAGAAAATAGCCAGAGTCAATAACGCCATGAGCATGAATATCATGAGACAAAAAGGTGTAGACTCCACGCAGGGAGCAATGACAAAGAACAGACGAGCAAGTTGTTGTCGGAACAGGATTGATATGGGTACAGTGTTCGAAGCAATGCTGCGGGGATTAAGGGGTCTGAATTAGAAACCGCAGCAGATGGACTGTTCAGGAACAAGTTGTAAGAGGAAATTAAACTGGGTGTATAAGGAGCAGCTCTTCATGCAACGACAGCCACAAGGGAGGAGCACTGTGAAAAGAACCTTGCACCAGATATGACTGCGGACGAATAGTCTTCGCAGGGATATTGCGAAGGAGCAAAGGGTCGAAAGGGGTCATTAGTTCGTCGATATTTGGTAAAGGAACAGCATCCAGGAAACATCAGTTGCATCAGAGCGATCCGAGAGATAAGATGACAGATTCACGTCAATAGCCGAAGTCCGTGGAACTGCCCAATGCTATCTCGGCGGCCGGTTTATTGGCCGTCCGCGAGGACTTCCTCCCTCACAAAAGAGAGGATATGCTCGAAGTAGCCAGGCTCAGCAACACTGTCGTTGTGTCCTCCATTTGGAAGTGTACGCCAAACCTTGCGGTCGGATTTGCAGATGGCGAAGAGCTGAGTCATGTTGGATGGCCTGGTCATAAGCTGCATGTTAGTGACGTGCTGGGACTCAGCTTGTACAACAGTTCCTGAGGGCACTCACGGGACAATCTCGTCCTTCAGCCCACTCAGGAAGAGAACGGGGACCTGTGTGATCTTAGGTAGGACATCCTCGCTGGTCCAGTACTGGTGGCAGAAACGGGCAAGGTAACGAGCAGGAGGGAAGACCCTATAAGATGAATCAGCATTGCCTGGTTTAGGACGTGGATAACATCGCCTGGCTCGGCAACCAGTCATAGAGCAGGACTTACGTGGGAATCAGTTTGCGAATACTCAGGAATGTGTTCTCAAGAATTAGTCCAGCGATCGCACCATTGCCTTGATTGTTGGCAACCAAGTTGATCGCCACGGCTCCACCCAAGCTCTGTCCATATACCACAATCTTGCTGTCTCGGGTTTCCGGGCGCTGTTGGATATACTCTAGCCCCGTCTGAGCATCGATTTTCAAGCCCGCCTCGTCCGGTGTACCTGTTGACAGACCATAACCACGGTACTCCACCATCAAGACATTACAACCCAAGACATCTTGTAGAACCTTTGCGATGGGGATGCGATGCCCGATGTTTCCGGCATTTCCATGAAACATCAACACGGTGATACTCGGGCCTATGCGTTTGCGCGAAGGGCGGATGAACAGGGCATTTAACGACTCTCCATCGGGGGTTGGAATTTGAAGATCTTCGTAGTCTGTGATTCCAAATTGTTGGGGCTTGGGGACATTTGTCCGCGCATCCACGGGCACGTTGCGAGGATAGATGAGCTCACTGCAAAGGGGTCAGCGTCCAGCGACACGCCACTGAGATGGTCTCCATGGACGTCCGATGACGGGGTACGAACTTCTGCTTAAAGTACAAAAGACCGCTAGCAACCACAGCCAACCCGGAAGACGCCAGAACTGGCAATCGCAAGAATTGCACGGCACTGTTGGCCATACCGGCGATACTCCATGACGGTGGGGGCGGCGACTCCGACATGGTAGTAGACTGGCTAACCAGGCAGTGTCGCGGAGAGATAAGAGTGGTGCGGCTGGAACGGAGAGGGTGGAAATGCTTGAACTGACGGTCGGAGCGCTGGAGAATGCAGGAAGGGGAAACTCAAGTGGTGAGGGTCACGATCCGGCGAGATACCCTGCAGCCTGGAGCGGGAGATAATGCGTCGGTTTGTTTCATCGGGGGCTGCTTTCTATGGCTGGGGGAAGTTCGTTCAGGAGGCTTGCGGGGGAAGAGGAACCACCCAGTAGGAACGTGGCTGTCTCTCACCGCCCGGCGGAATCAGCTCCAGCTGCCAACGTAACGCGTTCACCTGCCTGGAGAGCTCCGTCAGAGCTCATAACCACCTCTTTGACCATCAGTCACGCTGCACTAACGTTTGCTTCCATCCACACTTCATCACCATCATACCCTGTTTCTTTCGGTGGGATAGCTTTACATAGACAGGAACTATCCACTTTTCTGTCAATTTCCAATCAGCCATCATGGTCGGTCACGGTATGACGGGGATGCTCGGCGAGGGTTAGTGGTCTCGTGCTATGATTTGATAATGTGTCGAGCAGGAGTTGATGAGTTATTGCAGATGGCATCCATGTTGATATGAACCACTTGAAGAGCGGAGAAGTCAAGTATGTCCCCAACCATTTGCTCAATGAGACTTGAGAACGGTCACTAACTCATCGGTACAGCCTAGGAACATCGATGTGAGTTTCAGTCAGCCCCGAGGCAATGTCCGATATGTTGACGAAATACAGCATGGCGATCAACTTCAAGGATGGTGTTATATTGGGTGCAGACAGCCGGACGACAACCGGAGCTTACATCGCCAACCGAGTCACCGACAAGTTGACGCAGGTCCATGACACAATCTGGTGCTGTCGATCAGGTTCCGCCGCGGACACCCAGGCTGTGGCCGACATCGTGTCCTACCACCTCAACATGTACGCAATCACCAACAACGAGGCGCCGAGTACTCAGGTCGCTGCATCGCTGTTCCAAGAGCTATGTTACGAGAACAAGGACATGCTAAGGTAGGCATACACCGGGTCAGCCTGGAATGAGCAAGCTTTGTTGACCAACAAATCATAGTGCCGGTATCATCATTGCCGGATACGACCCGAAGCACGGAGGTCAGGTGTATTCGATACCCTTGGGCGGATCTCTTCACAAGCAACCGTACTCTATTGGCGGATCCGGATCGACCTATATCTATGGTTACTGTGATACTCACTGGAGGGAGAACATGACAGAGGAGGAAGGCATCAACTTCGTCCGCGGAGCACTGCAAGAAGCAATCAAGTGGGATGGCAGTTCGGGTGGTGTTATCCGACTGGTGGTGCTGACGTCTCGGGGCGCCCAGCGACACCTCTACCTGCCGGACACGGGCTACACCGGACCGGGCGTTACCAATTAACGAATGTATCTATACGGGACGATGATTTAATTGTTGTTAGCTGCTAAACGAGCTATTCATTTGTCTACAGAGTAGTGCTATTGCCTCAGATTAAGACAGGAGGATTCCGAATCTGAGACTGCTAGATATTGATCAAGATGGGGAGTATCTTCTTCACCGAATGGGATATTAGATTAAGGGAGGGGATGTGATAGCGTGGGTTGATAGTGCTCTTCAGGAGTCGCTTCCCGTCATCTTATAGTTTGCTTGTTTGAGGCACTATCACTTGACCAGTTTGTCAGTGACCGTTAGACTGACCCCAATAATGGAACCGCCCTTATCTAGGGGAGCCAGGGTCACTAGACGGGGTCAACTAATTCCGGATATCCCAGACTACGGGGCAGTAGTCGTGACCATCCATGGATCCCACGCGCGGAGTATGGCACGATCACATCATCTAGACTAAAACCACTACGGAGCACCGTTAGATTAATAGCTTCCCCGCTGCTTGCCTACCGACCGAACTTGGGAGCCATCAACTACTGTATTACTACTCACTGTCTAAGGAACTGCTAGCCTGAAATTAGGGGGCCAGGCCAAGATAGATGGTAGGTCAATGACGGCTGCCATTGCCTCCAGTGCATCTGGAGCCGCCACCAATCAGTCGGCGCTGCTGGACACCTGCGCGGCAGAGGAGCCGCCATTCGCCCATCGCACCCCCAAACAGAGGATGATCCTAAATGCGACTATCTGGTTTAGGCCTGAATAGTGAGGGTGTGCGTCTCCTTCTTTTCTTAGTCGCAGTCTCGCCTTATCCTTCTGGGGATGATAGATAGATAATAAGCAATCAGTCACAATATCACTCCGTAGTTATCAGGTAGGAAGTGGTTGGTGAAGATAAGCAGGTTGCAAGAGTGGCTGTTGATGCGATCTCATGACGACAGGGCTTCTCATTCTGCGCGGTCGGTAAGGTGACTTGCTTGATATCGCTGCAAGGAACCTTCATGGGGAGACCCTGCTGTACCAATCAGTAAGGATGTCTCCGGTGCAGCCTGGACCGGAGTAGATCCAGTAGAACAGTTAGTGATACCTGGTAGGTACTCGTAAAAGTGAATCAAAGATGATGGATCATCTCATGGTATCATATCTTCGTCAGGTCGCATTCTTGCCTGTCTCACCCTGTCAGGAGAACCTTCCAGGTGTCAATGAATACTCGTCTTCATTCGTCTTGCTTCTCCTGCCATTTGATCAATCAACTTGGGGGGGGATGTCGAGGGTGTGGATGTTGGTACATGGGTAAAAGGTGGATGGGAGATGATTGACTGGGCCATGGCCGGGTGTGGATCCCAACCTTGCCGGGACGAGAGTCTCTTGTTCCCTTCCTGCATCATCCATCCATCCATCCATCCATCCATTCATTCACCCCAAATCCACCTTTCCCATCCTTCTCCGCCACCCTATTCCCCATTCCCCTTATCCTCCGTTCCCCTCAGTCCGGTTTCTATAACCTGATAGTGCTCTCCGTGCCTGTCTGCTCTCCCTCCTCTCCATTCCTCCCCATCTCGCCCCGGATTGTCCTGTTCTGTACTGTCCTGTCCTGTCCCTCGCTGATTCATCGCAATGGACCATCCCATTGCCGTCTATCGCTTGTGATTCCCTTCCCGCTTCAGGCTTGGGTCGGGTTCACGTTCAACTGCTTGCTCCTACTCTTACTCAACTCTTGTAGCTACTACATACACACCCTCCCCTCTCCAGGTGCTCTGACCCTCCACGCCACGATCTTCCAGATCCAGACTGTCCTCCATTCTTGGATCATTGACTGAACCTAATCATCCTGCCGGTATCTCTCCATTCCCCTCTCGCTGTTTGGTGCTTTGTCCCTCTTGCGATGCCTTACGGAGGAATCTGTTCCTTGTTTGGCCTCCCCAATGACATGACCCCTCATCACTGGTCTTTAAAGTAACCGCTGACTTTCGGCCGCCGGCCCTGTACCGAGTAGAAGCACCCGCGTCTGACCTTTAAACCCGTCGGCTCTGATATGGGATCGGTCGTCGTAAACCATCCGCGATCGGATTATATGGATACCTCCTACAACATGTTGGGAGGCGCCATCACTTCTTCGGAATCAGTGTATCGGTCCTCGACTCATCAGCAGCCCTCTCACCACTCTTCGTCACACCTGGAGTCCGGGAGCTCTAGGTCGGCCTCGTCCAATACCACCCCCACCTCATCCACAGCCCCGCCGTCAACCTCCGCCGCCGGCTCTACTCGCCTCCCCTCCCACCCAACCCATGATGTACCGGCCTACATCAGTCGGCCCTCTCAACCCAGTTCCCAACCATCCACGCGAGCGTCCTCTGCCACTCCGGGATCCGTCTACACTCATCCTCCATCAGCCTCAATGACCTCTACCACCTCCCACCATCCATCGCGCCCGGGCTCCGCTTCTCATCCTGCAGCACATTCATCTTCTCATCACACTGGTGGCAGCCATGCAACAACAGCGGTACCAACCTCGGCACCGCATATGGGGAGTCAGTCCTCTCCAGCTTCGCCTCAGCTAAAGCCGACGTTCCAGTCCCTCCGCTCCCTGGGCGGGTCGGAGGCCAACTCTCCGAGTCGGATCAAAGTCCGTGATTTGTCACACATTCAAAGCTTTGCCAGTGAAGAGTTCCTCGCGCAGAGGGATCAGGCACCCGGGCAGTGGACCCAAGAGCGCCAGTACGAGATTAGTTCCATGCCGGTCACGGACATAATCGAGATGGTTGCTGGACTGCTGATGAAAATCACAACGACGAATGACCTGCATCACGAGTCGGTTCATCGACACATTCCTCCCCCGGATGGCACCACCACTCTGAGCTCCCAGGCTACCAGCGTGCTTGCATTTCACGGCAAAAACGTGCCCAGCATCAGTATTCTCAGCTATCTGACCAGGATACACAAGTACTGTCCGACGACGTATGAGGTCTTTCTCAGTCTGCTGGTATATTTTGATCGCATGACGGAACTGGTCAACAAGGGCCAGCTCGATCGGTTACGGCGTCGCTGGGATGGCACGTCTACCGTGCCAAGTGGCAACAGTTCCAGGCCCTCGTCGGCTGAGCGGTCGTCCACACATGCGACGCAAGCCTCGCCGCTGGTTACCCCGCCATCCTCGTCTGGAATCGCAGCACAAGATCCGTCCAGTCCGTCGTCCATATCGCCCTCTCTCCAACCACAGGAGGATGAGGATCAGTTCTCCCACTTTTTCGTTGTTGATAGTTTCAACATTCACCGGCTAGTTATCGCAGGCGTAACTTGTGCCAGTAAATTCTTCTCGGACGTATTTTACACTAATTCTCGATATGCAAAGGTGGCCCTTCCTTATATCATCCATTAGACTATAATCTCTGACTCGTTTACAGGTTGGCGGACTGCCGCTGGTTGAGCTCAACCACCTTGAACTTCAATTCTTACTGTTGAACGACTTTCGCTTATCGATTCCTGTCGAAGAGCTTGAAGCATACGGGACGATGCTTGTGGAGTTCTATGCGAGAGAGATTGTCGCACAGCAACAGCAGCAACTATCCCAGGCGATTCCCCGCTCGATAAACCCCTCTGCGGCACCGGACACTCCGTCGGAGGGAATGTATATGCGCACGCGCGAGAAGCAGCGGTCTGACGAGCAGGAAGTCCGTCAAACGCCAACTCCACCTTAGACTCTCGGTATATTTCCAATCAGAAGTGATGGGATTGTCTGGGTATACGTCCCGTGCTAGGTTTTCTTTGGCACCCTGTCTGTCCTTGGTACATATGTTAGCACTGTCCTTTCCACTCATGGTTCGGCCTATCAATTTCTTATAGATTATACGCTCGGCACTCTGGCTCATGATTCCACGTTCTATAACTTTGGGTGCTTATTCTTCCTGCCTTTCATGTCTGCCTCTGTGTACACAATTTCCGCTTTGCATTTTGTCTATTTCAACATTGGCCGGCGTTTCGGGGTTCACTGTTTGTTAACTGACTTGTCGGAGGGATGCTCCGGGTTTCTGGATTTCACTATAAATTCCTCTACAGGAGTTCTCGTCCTTGTACCTACGCTTTGTTTGTCTACTTCGGCCTCATCCAATTGGTCGAGTTTGATCTTGTCAGCGCGCAGAGCGAGTAATGAAGTATTGAGTAGTTCACTGCAACCTGATGACTGCATATGGAGTACTTGGAAGTGGCAAGATGAAGTTCAGTGCTGTGTACCCACCGACCCAATGGTATGGGAAGTTAATCTCGGCGCTAAGACGTAGAGCGTCGTGCCTGTCGCGGATCCTGTCAGGAAGTGGATATTACATCACCAGCGCTGATCAAGACATCACCATGATTCAGAACCAGCTTACCCTAGACTTGGGCTCGGCACTCTCATCAGATTCTACTCCAGACGGGACAAACTGGAGAAGACCAAGGGGCTAATTCCCCGCGGGTCAATGGCATGCATAGCATACCGCCGATGCATACATTATGATCCGCGTCCGGAACGCCAAGATGCGAAATCAATATTCAACATCCGCATCTCCCTCTTGATACAAACAGAGAAGAATGAACCGTTTCCAGAGGACATCCGCGGTCTTATACGATTCAAGTAGTAGTATCTTCCTCTTCTAGAATACGGGTCTGTTCCGGGAAAGGAATGCATACATACTGCTCCGACATGCCTAACAGCATGGCTGGAATGCTGGCAGTGGACCGGAAACGGGCCGACCCTACAAGAAGAAACTGGCCGAACCAGTGAAAGCGGGAGACAAAGGACATTGTTCATTGTTATTGAGTATTCTGGAGTGTTAATTTTGGCGAGGTCGTCACTTATCAGCATATTCTTAGGAAGTCTTGTGTCACCAGTGAAATATGTTGGAAGTTCGATAGTATAGTATACTTCTGAAGAATGGACGAGTTCATCGAGAAAATACCTAGCAGCACACTCACTTGCATCGCCTAATTCGTGGCCTTAGTCCTCATCAGGATGTACTACTTAATGAGGAAGTCTGCTTTCATCGTTAGATCTACATCGAGATAGTAATATCCTCCCTACGGAGGTTATATCCGTAGCGATGAGGTTGAGTATAAAGATGTATACGGTTTCCTTGTCTTTCAGGATGAAATATCACTTCCAGCAACAGCAGCAGCAGCATCATTCTGTATCCTACGAAGTAATCCAATTGAAGCTATTCAGTCCATAGCATCTATCTTTACTCTTCACTACTTCTCTACATCATCCGTGCTGTCTATTTACAATAACAGACAAAACATCTCAAGACTAAACCACCACCATGGTCCGCCAAACAACCTGGCTACTGCCTCTCCTGCTGCTCCAGGCCCTCCCCTTCGCCGTGACGCGTCCTACAGCCGTGAACGTGGACGTGCAAGTGCCCGATGCAGACGCCTGTACTGATGGCCAGGACTGCACTATGAATCTCCACGGCGGAAAGGATGACGATGACGATGATGACGATGACAACGATATCACCGATCAAGTCCGTCACAAGCATCATCATAAAGACCAGAATGATGATGGCGATGATGGTGACTGGGATAGCGACAGTGACAGCGACTCTGACTCGGACGACGACTCTGACTCCGACTCTGATTCAGATGATGATGATGATGATGATGATGAAGATGACCACCACCACGGCAACGGCTGCGACAACAACGACAACGACGTGCAGACCATCACCATCACGACGATTGAGCCGGGGTATGCCTCCCCCACCCCATTCACCTCTAATTCATTTACAAGACTAACAAATACACCAGCCCAACCCAAGTTATCACCGTAACCACCACCGCCACCGAATCCAACACAGCGGGCCTCGTCCCAACCGACTGTCCAGCGACAGCAACAGAAACAGCGACAGAAACCACAACAGCAACAGAAACAGTCTCAGTCCCCGGCCCAGCCATCACCGAGACCACAACAGCGACAGCCACCCAAACCGCAACAGCAACAGTGACTGAAACTGAATCAGACATCATCACCGCCACCATCACCGACACATCCACCATCACTCAACCCCCAGTGACCACCACCGAGACAAGGACACACACAGCGGTATCCACAACAACAGATACCGTCTCCTTCACCATCATACACACAGATACGATCACTATCCCCGGACCGACTATTACCGAGACGGATGTTTTGACTGCTACTGCTACTATTACCGAGATGGATACCAACACCGAGACTGTAACCCTCCCTGCATCGACAGTGACAGAGACGGATGTGTCGACAGTGACTCTCCCAGCATCGACAGTTACGACAACGGATGTATCTGTCTCGACGGTGACTCTCCCCGCCTCAACAGTGACAGCAACAGCAACAACAACAGTCACCACCACAGACACAGCATCCTGCCCCACCGATACCCCCGGCGGCGACGGCGGCGACGGCGACGACGGCGACGACAACAACAACACCTCCAGTGGTAATGACTACGGGCAATGCACCGACCCGAGCATCTCCTACCAATACGGCCTGGACAACCGAACCGAATGGAGTTTCATCACGAACAACCAAGTGGACTTTGATCACGGGAGTTCGACGACCATCGATACGTTGATGAACTTTGTGTGTAATCGGTTGATTAGCCCGTGTAATGCGCCCCAGGAGACGATTGATGCGTGCTATGCGGCCGAGGATGAGGTCAATAGTAGTGGGCTTGTTGGGCAGGATGCGGCGGATTTGTGGAATGAGTTGATGGCTTAATCTATTCCATATATTTCAGTTATTTATGTATGGATTTGAAATGGGGAGTGGGAGTTGGGTAGGTGGATATCAGTAAGGCATGGGATTTGTTGGGTTTATTGCATTGTTTATTGATATTGTTTGTTGAGTTGGTTTTTCTGTTATGTTCTGTCTGTTCTGCATTGGTGCATCTATATTGTCTGCATTAGGGTTACTGCATACTTGGTTAATCTAATACATCTGCTCACCACTCAGTCACTGAAGTCCATTTCACCAACTACAACTACAATTTATACTCAACTGAACACTGATGGAACAGCAATGACGATCCATTCCAGAAAAAAAAGGTAAGAAGCAACAACTAGAAACAGGAATCCCTGCTCGTGAACACCAACAAAAGAAAATCAAAAGCAAAATAAAAAGTCAGTAACACCAAACGCCCGGGTCATATGAAATGAACAAAAGAAAGATAATAATGAACCGTAACCCAACGCCATAAACCCAAGCAAATGTGCCATGATGCCATGGTCTTTGAACTATCTACCAACAATACTACCCCACTCACTCCGCTTGGACTCAGTCCAGCTATCCTGATCAACAATCTCCCTGATCTATTAAATTCATTAGCTTCTTTCCTCTTCAATCATCCAAGCAGCTGCTCACCTCCAACCTCTCCGTCACCAGCCACCAAACTCAACCCAAGACGAAATATTCCCTCCCAGTACATCCGCATGATTGGGTAATATTCCGTCTAAATATCAGTTAGCATATACTAATCTATACTGGAAGTAACACATACCTTCTTTCGCTTCCGGTGAAGCGCAATTAGCCGCCCGGTGTAGCTCCATCGGTTGTCGTCGCGTCGTCGTCGTCGTCGTCGTCGTCGTCGTCGTCGAAGGAGACGTCGATATTGTCGTATTGTCGATGGCCCACCACCATCTACATGCTGTTAGCTCCTCTTCTCTACATCATGTCAATAAGGAGCTACTTACCCCCAATCGGCCTCCGGCGAATCGGTGTCGTCGATGTCGTTGTCGCTGTCGCTGGTCGGTCGGTCGTCGTCTCGTTTCGTCTCGTCTCGTTCGTCTCGTTCGTCGGGAGCTACAACGGGTTGCTGACGCTCCGAGTAAGGGACTACGACTTAACCCCTGCGTACAGGTGTGCGTCATTACCCCTCGTGGTTAGGGAACCCTCTCTCCAGAATCCTATACAATCGTCAGCATTCGCTCCACACACCCTGGTGACGGACATACCTCTCTTCGGTGCATAATGCGCCACCAATACCACAGCAGGATACACGCCAGCATCTGCTACCCGATCAGCAAAACCTGGATGGTCTGTTTCCCCCAAAACAGACCAGAGCCAGTCCAGAACAGACGCTGACAAAGGAAAAGGGAGAATGAAAGGACGACTGAAGAAAGTCAAGGAGACAAACGAATGTGGGTAGAGAAGGGTAAAATGAGTGACAGGAGCGGGGAGGACAACGACTCACAGCCGGAATCCACCACGTTGCCGGACCTTCTCTCTCAGCATGTTCCAAGCCATGAAGACCGTGGCCGGACCCCAGCCTGGCCTCCTGGCAGCAATGCTAGCCAGGCGCTGGTACTGGCATCCGTCACGTCCACACGGCTCCGAGGCAGAGTGGACGTCAAGCATCACATATGAGTCTGAACCCCAGTATGTGGTGTACTTTTCCATCTCACCCTCCTCGTCTGGCTCCGCACGAGGAGTGACTTTCCAACCCTGCAGGTGACCCATGGCCGCCAGCGGGGCGGGGAAGACATGCTCGCGCCGAACTATCCAACAGGACACAGGGATGACGGTGTCCTCTCCGAAACGAACCGACTTCACGGACTTGGCCTTACGTTCACCTGCTCCAGCCTTGACCAGAGCAGGCTTAGCAAGAACCTCGTCGATCCGCCTGAGCGCTCTTCGAGTACGAGCCGCCATATGTGGGCTGCGAATAGCCCGGTTGGACGGACCAGAGGCTCGTTCGACTCGGGGGGAAGGGCGGGTTGTCGACCGGTGTCCCTCGGGGGACTTCTTGTGCCCCTCGACCTTGGGTGTAGCAGCCCAAGGCCGAGAGCGTGCCTGTCGAGAAGCCCGCCTTTCCTCCAAGCGAGAGGAAAGGACGGAGCCTGTTAGCGAACGCCCTGCCCCAGTGGCAGCTGGGACAGGTGGGGAAGCAGGGGAAGGAGTGGATGGTCTCACGGAGACCGGCAGTTGCGAGCCCTGTCGCAACTGGGCAAAAGAACGGACGTCAGGCGAAGCTGACTTGCGGGGAAGGGAACGGACACCAGTCGAGACTGGCAGGAGAGAGCGGACGACAGTTCGGGGGGACGAGACTGTCTGGAAGGAGCGGGAAGAGGGGATCTCGTAGTTCCGGCGAAAGACGAAGCGCGCCGTGTGTGCCGTGGGAAACGAAAGGAATGGCGCACTCGACTTGAACCGGTCGGCTACGGGAGCCTTCTTGTAGGGCAACCCAGGTATCCAGAGGTGAGTCATCTGAAATACCTGGTCAAAAAACGGATAAGAAGGGTAAGGGGAAGGCGAGGTGGAAGAAAAGAAAGGTACAAGGCAGCGGAAGCAGAAGCTATAAAAGCTGAGCTAAACACGAATGGGCTTGAGGGGACGCAAAGTGATAAATCACAGTACTAGCATCAAGGGACCAAACGGTGTGAGGAGGGAAGAGAAGAGAAGAGTGAGGGCCGGGGGGGAGAGGGCCATTATGTACTGGGGGGATTTACTGTCGAGGCAAGTACTCTTCATGGGCAGGAAGCAGAAGGAACCTATACAGAGAAGGTAGGAACAGCTCGTTGCCATGGTAGAGTGCCAGCGAACGACGACATGACCACGATATGGGAAGGACCATACGAGGGAACAACAGGGCGTTACCATGCAACGGGTCTCTTCTTCGAGGAGAAGGTAGGAAGTGCTCTGTATAGAGACTCTGGAAGCTGAAGGAGTAGAGCCAGAAGCAGCACAACGACGACTAAACCATCCTCTCACCTACAAGATATATCTACATAGGGCACGCACAGCAACATGTCAGGCCAAGTCAAGCCAAGCTCATGTCAAAGCAGTTGGCGTCGATCGCGCGTGTGTAGATCGCCAGCCCTATAGTGGAGACAGCCCACTTCATTCACAACACCAGATTCATGAGTTCGATGTAAGGAAGGAACGTGTTTCCTGGGAGACAGGGTGGGATGAGGTAGTGAGTGAGAAGGAAGGAAGGAGGATGGGAGGAGGATGGGTAAACAAGCTACCTTAGGAGATGGGTATGGCTGTCTTGGTGGGCAGTTTTATGGTATCATGGTGTAGTAGTGAGTATAGAGTGGAGTATCTAGGGTTGGGAGATTGCATAGTAGTCGTAGTTTGACAGTAGTAATGTGAGTCTATGAAAACCGTTGGCTGCGCGTTCATTTTCAAGTTATTTTTATAGTAGTAGTATCAAGATAAGAAATGGAGTGACAATGTCAGACTACTGTTGGTCTAAAATGGGATCATAAGTATATGGTGGAGTATGAGACTACACTGGAGCAGTATCCCTTAAAGCACTAACTGCAGTAGACTAGAGCAATATCTGGAAAGCAGAGTGCGAGATCATTATGTGCCCACAGTTCTAGTCAGTATATATATCTGTGTGCGTGTCTTAGGTCGGAGTGATATAGTATGATATCATACTAAGACTGAAGAACGTGATAGTAATATATATAGTATTCAAGACATATACTAAACTAACCACCACAATAGACATATATATTAATTCAACCATGGCATTAAAGTAACTAGTCCATCCAAACACAAATACGCGAGTTGGAAATGATCGAAAACAGTGCTTAAGCTAGAATGCAACAAACTAAAGGCAGCCATCATAGTCGAATGCACATCTCTCATTACCCCATATCATATCATAACATAAAAATGCAACAATCATTAGGAAATGCTGCCCGAACTAAAAACTAGAAGAACAATAAAACACAGCACAAGTACAGCAGAGACAATACAAGAAGAATGCGTAGCCAGAAGGGCTTCCAATGGCTCTCACGCCCGAGTCCCTAGCACAACCAATCAACCCCTCTGGCATATGTATGCAGTATCCGAGACCTGGTATCAACAACTCCCAATGTACAAACCTTTCCCGACGCCGGCCCTGAGTTGTTCCAATTGATCGTGATATCATTCGATCCGTGGAGGACTGGTCGACTTCTTGCCAAGGGGGCTTAGACTCGCTCTGCACTTAATTGTCAGTACTAGACCAGGCGAGACTTTAATATTGGCAATTGTCACGTACGATCTCCGTCTTTCGCCCTCCTTCCGGAAGCCTTCAATGATCTTGGCCATTTCCTTGCGTCCCGACCGAGCATCAACCTTGCGCCCACCAAGACTCATGCTGACCTTCTCATTGGCGTTGGCAGTGAGCAATCTCTTCAGTAACAAATGGCGCATGCTCAAACAGACGAACACGCCACAGTCGCTCCCGTTCTCCTGTACCGGCGAATCCTCCAAATGCACGTAGTTGATGGGTCGTCCCAGTAGTGCCGCAAATTTCATTGTCACCGTCCGGGCTTCCCAGAAATTGCCCGGTGGCAGCGAATCATAGTGAAACGCTATCCCGTCCACGATTGAAATCAATAATAATGACCAGTGTGTGCCTCCCTCTGCTTCCGTGACATTGCGACAATCGTTGATGGGAAGGAAGACATGTGTGGTTCGAGAAAAGTCGGGGAGCGCTTCACGCAGAGAATGTGGGTTTGGCGTTTGCAGGATCATGAATGACATGCTCGGTCGAAGGAGGACGATGTTGGAGGACCTGTATTGGACGAGAAATTCGTGTTCAAGGTATCTGCCGTTGTCGATCTAGTGAGCCCCATGGTCGGTAACTTTTCATGTAGGCAGGTAACTTACTCCTCCCAGAAAGAGATGACCTATGATCATGATTCGAATGTTAGCTTCCCATGTAACGGTAGAGCAGATCAATAGTAGCATTTCACGAACATTATCGGTCAGCCAGTCATTCTTCAGCGACTGCATGTCCCCTCGTGTTACTGTATCCGTTTGTTAGTGACCAGGATCAAAAAGGAGACAAACGGCGGTAGGGTTGTATCTTTATTCTGACAGAGTAACGTACATCGAACATCATGATCTACCAAGCTCAAGCATTAGTATTCATCTACTTCTCTCAACATGTAGTGTGGGAAGAAAGCGAGAAGAACTTACAACTTAGATACGCATCATCCGGGTTCAACTACGCCACGTTTAGTCTGTTTCTCAAGCCGACAAGACCCCGCACATGTCAAGGGCAAAGGACGAGGGACAGAGAACTCCCGTTGACCTACTGTATCGCCAAATCGTCTCATCCTCCTTTGTAATTTCCCCAGACCGCCGTCACGCATCGTGTTCACTCCAAGCAGATTATACTGGTCGCTCTCGCCTTCGATCTAATTGTTTGTCCACCGAGGTTCCGAAGTGTCGAGGAATAAGGTTCCGATCACAACCAACGCGAAGGGAGACAGGGCTCGAGAAAGGCTATATATGGGTATCCTTGGGTGTTTGCGACAGCCTGCACAACGAATGGGTAGACGAAGGCCTAGGCAGGGGATGTTGGTATTCGTCTGCCTGGTCCGTGGGTCTCCGTGGGCGGAGGATCAATAGAGACAGGTGGGAATCGGCTGGTCGATACGATCCCCGGCTGTGGTGCTTGGATCACATACGGCAGGACGTCGGGGGTCAACTGCGAAGGGTAAAGAATCGGAGCAAGGGTGATGATGCTAGTTCCAGCAATTGACGAACCGGGGAAGATGGAGAGGATGGCCGACGAGCGAAGGTGCAAGTTCCTCGTCGGCCGGCGATCCTCATCAGCCATTCTCAGCCACTCTGGGGAAGGCGCCGCCAGACGTCACCTGTGGCGGTGCGCTCACGTGGTTCAGCCCTGTTACGATAGCCTATTTTCCATTCCACTAAGGATATCGAAGATGCATAGATTGTTGGGCAAACATGGGTTCTATATATAGAAGATAATATTGTAAAAGGCACACGCTAAGCAATCCATTCACTTCAAGCAAGGGGTATCTAAAAGTACATCTCAACATCTTTCGTCCGACGCAACAATTGTCAGGAAAGTGATATCAAACTCCCCTGGAGCACACATGGTCACCGATCTTCCATCCAGTCAGTCCGGAGATTCAACATTCAACATGACATCAAATCAGATAAACCAGATAGTTCGCCAACACTATATCCCACCAGACCCGCTGAACGTAAGCAAACAAAGAAACAACAGATTATAAGGCAAATGCTAGGGAGCGCGCCGTAGAAGACGCCAGGTCAACATGGGCCAAAGACAGAGGGTGATGAGCTGGTAAACAGAGCTCGTTGGGGGGCCTAGGCCCCTGCCAAAATTGGCGCACGTGGTCAGAAACCCCCCCCATGGGAAACATAATGATAAAGAGCGTTAATTGCAAATGGCATCAGGCGGAAAGCTTTGCAAAGTGCTTATTCCAAATCCATCCAACCTGATGGGTAGGGTCGTCCTGATTTTTGGCTAGCCAGAGTTCTCCTTTCTCCGCAATGACATCAAAAATCTCTCCGACCACATACGTCAGGTAAGGATAGCCAGCCTCGCGTCGTGCGCGGTCGATATTGAACTCATAGATGCTTGCCGCGAGAAAGAGCACCGCTGGCTCATGGGGAGGTTCGTTATGAGTTGGTGCGTTATCCTGCGGGTTGTCTGACATTGGCATCGCTGATGAGAAAAATCCCGAGTACCGTCCATCAGGAGACATGGGCAGCTCCTCGGCCTTTGCGCCATCGTTCCCATCACTCGAAGGACCAATAACGTCCACCAGGAAGGGTGAGTCGAGACTGAGCCGGGGTAGGCTCGGGAATGCCTCGGTGGTGGAGGTCGAAGCTGGCACAGACGCGGTTGAAGCGCTAGTGATCTGCTGCAGCATCTGACTTCGTGGAATTTCGGCCGTCTCATGCCCCGTACGACCCGAAAAGGTGGAATCTGCCCGGTGGCGGCCAGTGGATACCTGAGATTGAGTATCAAAGCTGGGCGAGTGGAACGAATGACTGCCATTGCCAAACTCTTGAGACACCTTGGGCGAATCCTCCATTGTCGATCCCACGCGCGTACTAACACTATTGACCGTAGAAGGCCGCCGCGGCGAGCTGATGGTGGCTCCTGTTGAAGGCGTATTGAAGTTGACAAGATTGACGGTATCAGCAAGCAGGGAGCCATTGCAGATTCCCAATGATAGGACCTGCGATTCAGAGAAGTTGAAATTGCAGGACCAGTCTTCCACGATCTTCTGGATGTCTTCCGGGAATGACTCGAATAGAGAACCAAGCTTGTGCTGTAGTTGCCGGAACCAAGTAGTCTGTATGTGCACGAAGTTTTTGAGACACGCCTCCATCAATTTGGCAGTCAGGGCGTAGAGCTTTGGAAGCTCATCCTTAAGAGTCTCGTTGAGCGCCACAAATTGCTCTCCTTGTTCAGTAGTCTTCTTATCAGGTTTGTCACCTCGCTCTTTCGCGCCTTTGAAGCGGGCATAGTCCATGAGGCGCTTATCGCGCTTTCTCATTACTCGTTGAGGACCATCGTGGAGCTTGAGCAACGTGACCATCGGGTCGATGACACTCTTTCGGACAACAGCAATCTGTATGATAATCACGAATTAGCTATGAAAGCACTACCAAAGGGGTTAGAATCTGGGACGCTCCACTTACGTGTTCAGGCAACGCCACGGTCATTATCTCCGCGACAGTGGTCTTCAACTCACGCCACCTTCCCTCCAACTCTGCATAGTTAGATGGCGAAACATTGACGAACCCTTGGATCGCCTCAACGAATTCATTGAATCCGTCCATGGAGGTCTGCACCTCGCGTGTATACATTTCTGCGTCGCGCATCACAAGTTGCAATTGGAAGAAGTTGTCTCCAAACTTCTGGGCCAGTGTATCGTATTCCTTGTCCTCGACCATGTCAGAGAGGCCGACCTGCTGCCTCAACTTCTCGGTACGTCGACCGAAAGCCTTAGACAGGCCCGCCCTCACATCGGACTCTTTGCGTTTGCGGCCGACCACCTGCCCCACCAGGTCTGCCCGTTTCTTCATCTCGTTGATACGCACAGAGATATTAGTGACTTCCTCGAGGGCAGTGACAAGTGCCGGGTGGTCGGGATGGTCGTCGGGCGTGGAGTCGAGCAGTTCGGCCAACAGAAGGGGATATTTCAGAATTCTTTGCACTGGCTTCACCAGCAGAGAATCCAAGTCCCACGCCGTCGTTAGGTCTGAAGCCCAGTCTCGGCACTCTTTGAGCCAGATAGCAACCTTAGGGTTGCGCTGCAGTGTCTGGAGCTTCTTATTAGCAGCATCATGATTTTTCAAATAATCCGCATAGACCTTCTCCATGTAGCTCATTTGATTCATGAAGGCTTGACCAATGTATGTCATCTTATCTTTGTCCAGGTCGGATATGCCCGCCGTGCTCGAATTCTCGGAATCAGTCTTAGAAGCGTGATGGCGGGCACTACGCTTGCTACTCCAGCGTTGGGACTTGGGCATCACGTAAACGCTCTTAGCTGCCTCCTTCAGTGCATCTTGGAACGCCATCGAGAATTGCACGACCTGATCGGAGTTCGCAAATAGAATCTTGACGTCCTCCGAGGAAAGATCTAAACAAGAACTCGAGGTTCCTTTGTAGATATCATCGACGACTTTCATGTCTCGTCCGAAAGTGTACTCTGTATCGACAAGTTCCTTGATCACATGCCGACGCTTTTTGAGACGACGTTGCTCTGGAGATGGAGATTGTGCTTTTAGACGGGATGGCTCTGATGTTGAAGGGACCAGCGAAGTCGAAGACGAGTCGAATGTTTGGGGAGACGGTATAGGGTCCAGCCTGCGAAGAGAGGAATCCTCGCTACTACCGGTGCTCTGAACAGGATCCAATGGCGCAAAGATGCCAGATATGATAGTACTTAGGCGTTGCTCTGTGACATTGACATTTGAAGGCGGTTGCATTCGCTGTTGCGGGGCAACATTCAAGGTCGGTATGTCTTCTTCTGGTGGCTCAGGAACCGACGGCAACTGCTTTTCGTGGGAGTCAAGCTCTTGAGGCTGGTGCACCTTGATAGCCAGACCTAATCCTTCATCGGCCTCTTCTGAACAGGAAGATTGATGATTCGGGGTAACCAGCCGGGGAGTTGTAGCACTATCATGTACAGGACCTGTGTCGCCGTTTTGTGCCTGCAAAGCAGACTCATCCTCAGCAGCAGCCACTTGCATCCAGTCCATGATCGAAGGGGAGGCATGCTCCCAGTCGTCACGCAAAACTAGACTTGCTGTATGTCCCGGTCGTTCCAAAGCAGGAGTGTCCCGTATACGAGATACAACGACCGGGTCATCGGTTAGACTGTCGGATCCCTGATCTGCCTTCTTGTCCGAATATGTGTGTGATGGCTCCGGAGAGGCGCGGATTGCTGGCAACGGAAGCCCATGACTCCTGCCATTTGCCAGCTCCTGCAGATAGAGTTGTCCAACCCTCTTCGAATCCCAGCCACCTAGTCTTGCTAAGCTGGAAGCGTTAGAGAATGCAAAGCCATTCGGGTGAGACATCGCTTCCTGTCTCCCATCATTCGCGCTTCCCTTCTTTGGAGATGCGGAGCGCAGTATTTGATGGTCGGTTATCGATGGGGTGCTAGAAGATGCAGAGCAGGACTGGGTCGCGACCTCACTGTCCTCAGTGCACTGTTGGAGCTGGGAGAAGTCATCTCCACTGTTGTCGCATTGCTCGTCCACGGAGTGCTGATTGCGAAGGGACGAAGACCAAGAACTCATGCTCCAACGATTAGATGTCTCGCCGTTCATCGGACCATGTCGCATGTAAATATCACATGACTCCGGGTTATCGCTGCTGTCTGCTTGATCATCGAAAGCGAAAGCATTTCTTAACCTAGTAGGCAAGGCATCCCTCTCATCGTTCTCGGAGAAGCTACACTCCTGCTCATCGCATGACGAGCTGCTTGGACTGGACTCACGAATATTCATGATCTGACTCAACAGAGTCCTGTGAGAAGTATGTATGTCTTGTCGTGACAGCTCAACTTGGGGCTCGGTATCGAAAGCAGTCACATGAGTCTCGTTAGACTCCGAGGTAACATCAGATGCGGGGGGAGCGTGAGACTTGGGCTCATATGTCAAGTCCCTTTCTATTATCGCTGCGTGTCCCAGAGTTGGGGAATCCATGGTCATTAGGTGTGCATCAGAAGCGCCGTCTACATTCTCCAATGTAGTAGGGATGTCAGTGTCCACATGGAGCTCAGGGAGTGGCCGAGAGTCCTTCGTTTCGGGTACCTGGTCTACCTGCTCAGTCGGGGCTTCTGCTGCCTCC